CCACTGATGAGCCGTCATAATCAGGGCCCTGGCTCGGACAACTCTGTGGCCAAGACTGCTACCAACTCCCATGATCTGTTCCTCCATCTTCCTTTAGTAATTGAACTCTCCTCCTGTTTTAGCAGGCACATGGATGGAAACTATCACAACCCCTTGGGGCTAGGTGTGGCCAATGGACATGAATGAGAAGAAAGGGGCTACTTGTTCAACACATCCTTTCTTTTTCTCTTCTCTTAGTCAAGGTGTGATTAAGGACATGGTGACCCAGACTTGATCGTGAGATACTAGAGAATGGCAGTGCAGTAATATGCTCTGGACAATTTCATGGGCATAATCCAATTTTTTTTCTATGAGAAAGAGAAAAGTATCCTATCTTATTTGAGCCATGGTATTCTTGTTTTTCGCTAAAGTTACTTAGTTGCACTCTAATTTACATAGAAACTAGTACTAGAAATTGGGTGTTATTAAACAAAAGCCTAAAACACATGTTGACTAGCTCCTTAAGCATTAGTAGATAAGGAAATAAATATTGCAGCTGTAAATCTAATATTATGCTATGGCAAAATATTTGACAAAGTTCACACCTATCTTAGATGAAACCCATACTAGGGAAGGATTAGAAAAACCCTGAATATTCATGTATCTTGACTATTCCTTATCACATGCAATGGTCTGAATGCTATATCCCCTAAAGGACATATGTTGAAAACCAATCAGGATGCAAGGGCTTTAGGGAGTGGGTAGATCAGGAGGGCAAAGTTCTCACAAATGATATTAGTGTCCTTATAAAAGATGTCCCATAGGCTGCTTTATCTCTTCCACCATGGGAGGGCACAGAGAGAAGTTGCTATCCTTGAACCAGAAATCAAGTCCTCATCAGACACCAGATCAGCCCATGACTTGATCTTGGACTCCTCAGCCTCCAAAATCATGGGAAAGAAATCTCTGTTTTTTATTAGCTACCCAGTTTATGATATGTTGTTAGAACAGTTCAAATGGCCTAACATACTGCATTTGACAAGATACCATGAGAGAGGTGAAGTAACAGAAGTTAGCCTGTTGGCAAGTAGATGCTTAAATATGGCAGTTCACCTCTAAGACCTGTAATCTAAACTGACTGGGAGTCCTATGACTGAGGCCTCAACCAGACTAGAAAAGCCAACTGAAACTTTATGACAAAGAGTAAGAGATATCATTATCTCCCAGAAATTGTACCAGCATCTTCCATTAAATGCATTTCCTCAGTCAATGATAATCACTTCACCTGCCTTGGTCATTCAATGAGAGATAGATGAGCCAAGCACAGAGGCCAAGACATAAAAGAATCTGCAGACCTAAGGCCTTTGTTTAAGTTACTTTCATAAAGAACTAACTAGAAGGAAATTGACTGACTGGAAGTCTAGTGAATCTATTAAATTTTGAAGGAATTCTGGTCCCTGAAAATCTCCCTGATGTTTCTCTCAAGATTAGACTGAGATTGTGCATTTGCAGAAGGAAGGCCACAGAGGTAAGGTGCCATTCTTATCACGTCATACTGAGGGTTAAGTGCTAGCAGTAGGAATCACTACTGTTGATGTTGACCTTGATCACATGGCTGAGGTGGCGGCTGTCAGGTTTTTCTATTGCAAAGTTACTCTTTTTGCACCTTTCCCATACTGTGCTCTTCGGAAGGAGGTCACAATGCATAGCAGTACGTTAGCAGTGAGGAGTTATGTTCTGTCTCTTTAAGGATGAAGTATCCATATAAATTATTGGGAATCCTGTGTAGGAGATTTGTGTTTCCTCTTCTACATATTTATTTATTCAATCATTTATTTATACCATCATGAACTCATAGACACTTAGGACTATAATTTGCCATAGGACGGGCGCCTCCATGCCCAATGCTTAGGACTATAATCTAATACCACATTATTTATTTTGTTGCTCAAATTGTTCTCGTTTTGGCCAGTGGGAGCCCTTTCAGTTGACCTCTCTATGACTTTGACACAACCACACCTTTCAGCATGTGCATGAATGTGTATGTTCAAGCACTTCCTCATTTCATGGCACTGTAAAATGCTACAAGTCATCTTACATGCATTCTATCCTCATCTGAGAACAAGCCATATCTTCTAGGAGCTCTGGTTCCTGTTATTGGAAGATAATATTAGAAATCAAGATCTGGGGACCAGCAGGTGGCAAAAAGTTTATGTCACTGGACTCATAGTTGACTGCGGTTTGAGTCCTAGATTCAGCGGCTTAAAATTCATGCCAGGAGCATATGTGTGTGTGTCCAAAATCCCAAGAGGAGGATGGAAGAGAAGGGATTGAGGCACGGTCATTTTCCTGTGGGTGATGGTGGGAACTGATTTTGCACTTTCTCTCTCTTTGGCAAGTGCACACACCCTATAGCAAAATCTCTCTCAAAAACAAACAAATAAATATAAAAAGAATTCAAAATCTGGATTCCAAATACACTCACTGCCAATGGAGTTTCACTGCTTCTAGGCCCTCTCAGCTGACAAAGGAAGTGTGTGTGTATATATATATATATATATATATCTTCACTGATGTATACACATATCTATAAATGTTTCTATATGCAACCATCTGTATTGTTATTAATCTATACATGAGTTTATACTAGAGTGTCCAATTCTTATCCATGGTCACAGTATCATTTTAGCCACTCCCATTTGTTGTGAGAACCCTGGCTCCCACCATCTGCCATTCATTTACTTCAGTTACAGCATACAAGTATAGTGGTTTCAAAGTTGCTAACCCGTACCTCCAGGGGAAACAACTTCATCAACTACAGTACAGTGCTTGTGGACAGTTGCTTTAGCCTTTAGTGTTACAGTCTACACTCATTTCCAAAGTTACTTAGATCAGCACCCCTTTTGTGAGTCGGTATCAGACCTTTGTAATATGGTGAGATTCTTTTGTCAGTTTCCACATTTCATGCTGAGATCCCCTGCTCCTGATCTAAATATTTAAAATTAGTATACACTGTGGTTCATTCTCTGGCTGTAAAGTTCTGTTCATTTCGACCACTGCATAGTGTTGTGTATTAACGAAGGGTGTCAAGTATCAAACAGAACAGCTCTAGTGCCCTAAAAAGTTCCCTGTACCCCAACTATTGTATTCTCCCTCTCCTTATTCCCCCTCCCTGAATCCCTCACAATCTTGCTCTGCTCAATATTTTTATGGAGCTGTCTTTTCTAGAATGCCATATGAATGAAATCATACAGTATGTAGCCTTTTTCAAACTGATTTCGTTCACCTACCCATATGCATGAGATACATCTATGTTTTGGTAGACTTGCTTAAAGAGAGTTCCTTTTGCTCTGAGTCCTTGTTAACTGTTGGTATTGTCAGTTTTTAGATTTTAGACATTGAAACTGGCATGTAATAGTATCTCACTGCTTCTTTAACTTGAATTTCCCTAATAGTAAATATGGACTAAGGAACCAATATTCCTAGATTTAGGCAATTGTGTCCAGAAAACGTAGGCCAATCATAACATAAATGGCTACAAAACAACTGAGATCTTCCAAATTGTTTCAGGAATCTGTCATTCCTATAGTGAGACTAAACTCAGACATGATGAAGTGGCCTTGATGAATCAGAACCCCTCTCTTTCCATTTTTTACAACAGCTTTTGGGTTGATTTGATACATTATTATAGAAGAAAGGGTCTGTTAAACAGCTATGGAAAAGTGAGAAATGTGTTCTTTGTAGGTTTTTATCATTTTAAAATGATATTCAGATGATCTTTAATGACTACAAAAGCATTGAGATGTTAATATACTTCATATAAAAGGCAGGGAGACTATTTCACCCACCCTTTTCTGTGCTGAATTTCAACTCTAAGAAAATTATTTCTTTTGATCCACTCTGATAGCATGTAATAAAGGAACAATAAAACATATGGCTCAATTACCACTGCTTCTCGTCAAGCATGAATTAATGCATATCAAATTATTATTAATTGTTTTTTCTGGCTCCCTCTCCATAGAATGATTATACATTGCTGTTATTTTGATGAGCACTTGTGTTTAACACTTTGCAGACCAGTCTGAAAGAGAGACAGATGCATGAAACTATTTTATAGAAGAGTAATTCTTTGAACTTATCAACATAATTCTCTCTTTATCTCCCTAGTCTATGTCAGTTTTTGATGACTGCTTTAAAATTTTCATAAAATTCGACCCCATCTCCTTTTCTCTACATTTCCCTTTGAGAAGCAGGTGCTATGTGCACATGAAGATTACAGGCCCAGTAGTGGCAACACCACCCTGTGAGGCTAGGCCCGCATGAGAGGCCCTGGGTTCACATCCTAGAATCTCCTTGTACAAGCACCCACATGCACATGCTCCAGGTTGGCTAAGGCTGGATGTACATCTCAGCAAGGGGACCCTGGTGTGGGTGGCTGGTTGTCCCACCTCTCTTTCTCTATCTCTCTCTTTCATGGAAGAAATAAACTTTAAAAAGAGAACATAATTTCAGTTTCTCAGTGTGAATTATAATACAAGTTCCATGCATGATTATCAAATTTCAATTCTTTCAGAAAAAAATTCTTTAAAAATAAAAGTGATAGATTGAGGAGCTAAAAAATAAGTTAACCTGGACCAGCAGATAGCGTAATGGTTATGTTACTGGACTCCCATGTAGTCGACCATGGCATGAGTTCCATACCTAGCAACTTTAAATCACTCCAGGCATGTGTGCACACGTGCCAAGATCCCGAGAGGAGATGGAGGAGAAGAGATTGTGGTGTGGCCATCATCCCTGAGGGATGATTTCTCACTTTCTGTCTCTCTGTCTCTCTGGGAAGCACATGAGCCCCATAGCAAAGATCTCTCAAAAAATTAATTAATTAGTTAATTAATCATCATAGCATAAAATATATCATTTATAATCACTTTAATTGATAACACCAATGTTAGTGAATGATATTTAAGGACGATCACAAAAAGATTATGTGTAACCAATAGTTTATTTTTATAAGCCTTCCATAAATATAAAGTGCTATATAATATGAGTGTATGTAACAGGGTAAATAACATATCTTTGTATCCATAACCACTACTTTTCATAATAAGTATACCAAGATTTTGAAATGCATGCCAAAAACACTTAACCAATTATAATATGTAAACTATATATGTCATATGATTTTTACCTATTAGCCATAAATCTGTTCCTTTCTATTTTTAAAACACAGCCTTTAAAAATTATGCCTGCAATAAACTGATATTAAGGTTAAATTGTTCATAAATGTCCTATCTAGTTTAATATGCTTAACAAATGCATAAACAGATATATTTCTAAAGAGCAAACTCAAACTTACTTTAGATTCAGAGAGTTTGTGAGCAACAAGGAATCTTAGAAATCATTTTGTCCAATCCTCCTCATGTGACAAATAACAACACAGAGGTCTAGAAAGTTTGTGAGGTACATGTAATTTTCTCTCTTATCTCTCTGCCAAGCTTTATAAGAAAGTTTCTATTAGCATTTCTTTTGCAGATAAAGGATGTGTATCTTGCTTCATTGACACCTTGTCAGGGTGTCCATAAAGTTTGTGAATACAATGTCTTAGAGAAATAAAGGGGAAAAATGAGAAACTTGATTATAATGGAAGCCATGATGCACAGCCAAAATATGGAGCAGGGACAGACCTGGCCAGGGTTGACAATGCTCACTGCCACCAGAAGCATCAAACCTTTGACACTGATAAGTGGAACCATTTGAAATTTTATTACTAAAGCTAGCCAGATACCAGATTGTTCTTTTAATGTGTATAACCTTATTAAAGGCAATTAGATTATTTATGCAAAAGCAAAATTATTAATTGTATACAAGAGTCAATCTTCAGTGTGAAAGCTTTTCCAGATTACATGTTCTTAAGAGAAAAAAATTAACTTTTAATTTCTTAATGAATGCTTTTCCTCTTGATTTTGATGTGCCAGAATTACTGAATCCACTTTGCTGAAAGAAAATATTAAAGAAAATAACAGTCAGATATACAAATACAGTACAAAAATAAGCCCATAGCTAAAATTTTAATGACAATGACTCATGCAAGGGTAGTGGTGGATTGAGCATTCTAGTTTTCCTTATACTCTTGAATTCATCACTGTGGCTTTGATCATACTACGTACCAGGTGACCGGTACCCACATACTATGTTTGTGAGATGCCCAAGAATCAAACCTGAATAGCTTATATGTAACATAAAAATGCAATTTCTATATGTTAGATATAGACAGGGAGGAAGACACAAAGATTTCTGAGTCTTTCGGTAGCCACACCCACTAAGCCATGCCACAGCCTTCTGAAAGACTAAAAGTGTTAGAGCTACCACCATGCACCTCTAGACTCATAATAAAAGATCATGTTAAGATTGCCAGATTAGGAAGAAACGTGAATATGAAAATTGTCTGAGGGAAGCAGAAAATAGAAAGTAAAGTATGAATATAATTAGGTTTGTTCTTATAACTGATTCTGCAGCCTGATGGAACGTGGGTTTCTGAATATTTTTCAGAGCACTTTCCAGATGTAGCTCATTAATATCAGGCATTTGTCATTAAGTTCCATACTTGGATCCTATGTAGGAATTCCAAATGTTCCTCTTTTATTCAGATACCAACAAGACATCAGGAAAATAAATACCTTTCCCATAGTGCTGTTGACTATCTACTCAATATCATTTTGGTAATTCTATTTATATACTATTTAATTCAAAAATAAAATGTACATATTAGCTTTAAAAAACGAGTTTCATAGGATTTTGTTTAGAAAATCTACTGTATACCGTTTGCGTATTTTAAATCAGCCTTTAAACCTTTATGTCTAGTTTACAGAAAGTGTTAGTTAAAAAAATACAGGTCCTTGAAGTTTTATTATCACATTATACTAAATAGCCCAAATTATAGTAACATTGGTCTTAAACTAAGAAAACACTTAGATACTATATATAATACAGAATTATATAGAACTATCTCTAATTTTTTCTTTTGAAAGTAACATTAGAGGCATTTAGAGTGGTAATCAAATTTGGTTAAAAATATTCAAGTGCAAGTGCAAAACTTCATTTGCAGAAATGAACTTCAATTTGAACAGCAATTCATGTAGAACTGTTCATCCATTTTTGTTTAAAAATGGAAATTAAAAGAAATAAATGAATTCTGCTTAATTGTATCTATGGTATGATATCAGAAGACAATATAACTGTTGATTGCTTTTATACCACGAAACAAAATTCCACTATAGCATAACTATCTGTAGTTAAACTTGTAACTAAATACAATTAATACAATTTTTTATTTTATTGAGAACATCTTTTTCAACAATACTAAATGCTCATTCGCACTAGTAAAAGTGATATAATTCCCTGCAGAAAATGTCATTTACCCATAACTTTCGAGTAACAAGGTTCACAGTGTATTGTCTGTCTATAAATCCAAATACTGTCACCAGCTTGTAGATTTTCCAAAGGTCGTTTGCATATTTCACACTAAAGAAGAATAAAAACAAAATCAGTTTACATTAAGTAAATTGTCTCTTTGAAGGAAAAGAATAGAAAAATGTTTTCAGAACCACCCTCCATAGCAACACTCAGCTGGAGCCTCCAGAGAAATGGGAGGGAAACTGAGAGTATACTAGTCCATAATCCATGTGGCAAACTTTTCAGATAAATCCTCACAACGTTTATCTACCAGGGAGGTGCACTTCGGAGCACGTCCATCTATCTCATTCACAATGAAGCAGATATAAATTTCCAAAAGTTGGTTATGCCAAGGTGATAGAGATGGTAACCCAGAGTCACACAGATACAATTACTGACAAATGCGGAACTAGAACTCGGGTCTTCAAATTCCTAGTTAAAGACTTCTATAATTACACCAAAAACTATAATGTTTATTTGGAGAATGAAAAGAAATAGTCTATGAAAACACACACTGCAAAGCATCCTACTAATAAAACCTTTATTAAAATTTATAATAGTAAGCCACAATTCATTACGATTAATCATGCTCTCAAAAGCAGACTGAGTTTCGACTGCTGTTAAATTCGTTGGTCCTAATTTTATGGTTTAAGAGTTGCTAGCTTTCTTTTTAACAATTTCCTTTCCTTTTTTAAATATTTCATTATATATTGTATGTAATATGTGATTCATTAAAATACCAGGAAAACTTTTATTACAAGTGTTTATTTTTGCATAGATTTAAATCTATAGGGTAAGAGCGAATGAACATGTCAGTAATCAACTCTAAGCCTAAAGTCAAGATAATAATTCCAAACCTTGCGATATAGGCTGCAAAATTCTGAGAAATATTTAAAATAGTGCATTATTAATGTGAATTATAGTATTTTTGAAAGTTTTAACTTCATTCTTGTATATCATTAAATAATTATTTTTATTTCAGCCATTATGCAATTTTATTTAAGTTAAGTAAAATACATGCCTCCTTACCTTAAAGCAGGTGGAATGGCAGCAAATTTGCAATTCATCTAAAATCATTTTAGTTTCTACACCCAAGGGTTTTCGGCAGTAAGTACACATATCTCTTTCAATGACAGACCTATAGAAATATAAATAATTGAAAATAAAGTTACCATTGTACAAAAGTTGGATATATTCCTTACAACATCACATGGAAATGATTTGTTAATGTTGATGATGCTTTGGGAAATAGGATTAAAATAAATTTCACAGTTTACTTATTCTAGTAACAGAATAACAGAATTGAGTCTTCTAGTTATACTGAAATGACACCAAACAATGAACTTGCAGCAAAATATCCAATTATTAATTTTTAGCAATCAAGGATGCATCTGGGTAGGACAAAAATGTTGTTCCCTAGTTGAACTAAGTCAAAAATACCCCTTGAAACTAAAAGAGGGCTTTTAATCATTAATTTAACATATCATCTTACATATTTCATGGAAAAATTAGGTAGCAGATTCATATAAATATTGAACTCTCAGAACACTCAATAGAAATAGAAATCCATTCAAGGGCAGGTTAGTAAAATCCCAAATAATGCATCTATCATGCTGGAATTTAAGGGACTAGAGTTACCAAACCCTCTTCATGGTGTCATTGTGAGACTCCAGATACAGAGATTCTTATCATGACAAAATGTCTACTTTCCAACAAGATATAACCCTGTCACAAATTCAATAAGGGAAAATGTTTGGGTTTTTTTTTTTTTTTTTTGCTTATTTTGGAAAAATAACATTCAACAGTAAATTAACTGTAGATGTGATCAGCAGAATATAAAATTCCTTGGGTCACATCAGATCCTTATTAAAGGATTCTTTTCCTTTTGGAAGGTCTTAGGACCCTCTTAAATAGTACCCTGCAGAGTTTATGAGTTTGGGAATGCTAATGTGTAGGCCTGAAATTTCTGGGGAGTAGAATACATAATGGAGCGATGAAATAAAAAGAGCTAGTACTTATGTAGGGCTTCACTTGTGCAGTGTTTTTATTTTCCATGCACTTTACTTATATAAACTTATTTATTGTATAAAACATTCCTAAGAAGCCAGTACTAATAGTCCTGTCATTTTATAGAAAGAAAATGGAGGCACAGAAAGGTAAGTAACTTGCCACTGTCATAAAGCCAGTGAGTGACAGAGCCGAGATTTGAATGGAGGCAACACAGGCCCAGAGTCTTTGGCCTGCCAGAAGGTCTGCTGGGGTCACTGTACTGAAGTGAGCTAGTCATGCCTAGGAATCACTACTCTATCACCTGACCCAGGAAGAGGAATAGAAGGGAGGTAAAATGGAAAGGAAGAGGAGAGAGAGGAATGAGATGGAGTACATAAACCTTGCCTAGTTGTATACTTTCAGTCATTATAATAACTTCTCCCTAATTTTTATACATACAAATATTTCCTTCCTTTAATTCTCTCTATGGCTATTGCTTATATTATTGGGTCATTGAAAAAGTCATGATGTATTTTTCTATGTTTTTCTATGAAAAAATGTATCATGACTTTTCTGACAACCCCATGTAGATGCCTGCAAATATTTTCCTGTGGCTTATCCATATATATGCAGACATTTGTATGCACACACTTAAACTCCCATTTCAGCCTATAAGCACTCATCAAGAGCAGAAAACAAGAGCTCTAGGTTACAGTATTTGCCCGTTCCACAGGCACTGAGCTAGAAGCCGAGAATACAGAGAGGTAAGAGTCTCCCCTCTAACGAGAAGCTCCTTCCTCTGGGGAGGCCAGATATGTGATTCAATGATCGCAGCATAATGTGCAAGTTCAATGATTGCACATAAAATGGACATGTGAAAAGAGTTAGGAGAGCACAGGTAGGAACTAAACCAGCTCTTACAGTGAAGTCAGGAGAAGCCGGCCAGAAAAAGTGTCAAAGATGAAGGAGCTCTTTTTTCTCCCCCCAATTTTTAGTATTTATTTATTCATTTATTTTAATTTGAACACAGAGATATAGATAGAGAAAGCGAGAAAGCAAGCTGCCAGGTCTGGAACCCAAACCATGGTCGGCATGTGGGAGTCCAGCACCTCACCACCACACCACCTGCTGGCCCTAAAGCTGCTCTTGAGGTGGGCTTGGTGACTGGGGGGAAGGACACATGGCAGAGGAATTCCAAGCACAGTGAACAGAGTACACAAAGGTCCTTGTCTATGAGTGTATCTGAACTGTTTGAGCATTAGTTGGGAGCAGTTCTGGAGGCCCACAGAAACTGTGCAAAGGGAGTTGGTCTTTACCCTATAAAGTGGAAAGCCACTCTCAATGGAACAGATGTGCTTAGATAAGAACTGGGAGCACATGGCCAATTTTGAACAATACTCAACAGCAAAATTATTTGACCGGTATTATGGAAAACTGACTTTTGCATTATGACTAAGCAACATTTCAAGGGCCACTTTAGGAACGAGAACAGGAAATCCCTCCCATTAACAGCAATACTTTCATGAGGAATGTTTTCCTTCCTTCTGTTAATAATAGAAATAAGGGCCCAAGGAAAGCTCCGCTGTTGGCACTGCCCCTATTAAGAGCATACAGTTAGTAGAAGATACTTTCGAAGCATTATGAAAAACTTAGTTCTGTGTTTTGGGTTATCTAGACATTACTTGTACTTCTCAAGCTCGTGTAGATGACTTACTCTGCCACAATGTAGGACCTAAACACAGGATACTGGGCACAGCATTGATAATGGACAAGCTCTTGTAAAAGTGTCAGAAACAGGATACAACTTTTTTTAGTTCATTTACTTTATTCATGATAGAGAGTACATGTACATGCATGAGAGAAAGCAGGGTGAGGAGAGAGAGGGAGCACCTTGACAGGATCCTATCATGCCACGACCCACTTTCCCCAGCCCTCCATCCCGTCAGGATTCTGGACACATGTGCATGCACTCACACGTTTTCAAGCTGACCTGTGGATCCAAACCTGCAGCTGGCCATGTGGCTTCTAGCACTGCAGTTTGGTTTTGCTACTGACTATACTGACAGGCTGGGTCTAGGGGATAATGTCGGTTCATTCATATTTCACTGATCAAATGGAACAAGGGTCATATTTTCAATGAAACATTCATCAAGGACCTTTTAGGTACCAAATGTTGCATTTAGAAGCTTTAGAAGGTTATATATAAAAGTAAGTTATGTCCATCAGTACTATAAAAAAAAAAAGTTATGTCCTCACCCTCATTGAGGTTCCAGCCCCTGCTATAGAGAAACACTGTCAGTGAAATATCAAACATTTGCATTATGGCTTGGTTCCAAGGGTTGGGCTGAAATTCTCATTGTTTATTTTCATTTATTGTATAGGAAATCTGCAGACCACACTCTCATGTCACCTATGTGCCCCACTGAACATTAAATAGTAAAAAAGGACAACCATTAGCAAAAGCCTAGCATGAGGCCAGTTCAGCAGCACTAAATCAATACTCATCATAATCCCACTCCTGGGAACTGAGGTTGGGCTCACAGTGGGTCATAGCAGCATCTGCAGGCAGCTATTTGTAAGGCGAGCTGGCTTTGGAAAAACTCAAGGAGGCAGGGCTGAGGGTACAGCTTAGTGATAACCATAAAGCCTGGACACTGATAATGTGGCAAGATGGGGACTCCTGGGAATCACCGACAGCAGAAGGGCTGCCCTGGGAGGCAGCTAAAAGGCATGGAAAGGTCTTTTAGAATAAAGTGCATCAAAAATCAAAGAACAGCAACAGCTAGGAAGCCAAGAAGGAAATTCCTGGCTGCAGAGGTTGTTAGGGGTTGTACTTTGCTCTGTTAACGTATGTACATAAGAAGTAATAACAAGAGAGTCATCTCCGAGGAAAAAGACAGAAAAGACAAACATATACATATATTGGGTCATCTGAAAAGTCATGACATACTTTTCTACATTTTTCTATGAAAAAATGCACCATGACTTTTCCAATGATCCAATACATACATGCAAGTTGCGTGCACATATACATATACTTGTAGATATGAAAATAAAGACACACTCACCTATCTGAAGTTGAGTAGACAGTTTGGATGTATTTTCCAGAAATATTCTCCTGATATCCATCCTTTGATGACTTACTAGAAACAATCAAATATGGACATTTAAGAAGCAGCTGTTTTCGTTAGTATTAATGCATAGCCCATATGCAGATAAGGAAATACACACACATGCACATACACACACACACACACACACACACACACACACACCCTCACGTAGCTTTCTTCTTCTTTTTGATGTTACAAAGTAGGATGATGAACTGACATCTTTTCTTTTAATCTGCAAAAATATTGATGCTCAAACCATCTCTAAGCTGACACATCTACTAAAGTAAGTAGGGAATGGGGTAAGGAGTGCAGGAATAGCATGAAGAGAAAAGAATCTCATAATTTTTCATGAAATTTCTACCTGCACCTCCCTTACTTCCTTAAAAATAGCTATATGTATTTCATCAAAGATGAAACACAAAGCATGATAGTTCTAGTTCATATGCACATACACCATTCACAGGGAGAAACAGATACTCTTGAAATTTTAGAGAAAATTCTAGAAATGTTTATTTTTACTTGAAAACATCAAAGAGGGAATAATTGAAAATGAAAGCAAAAGAAGCATAATTTTGAACATTCCTCTTTTTTCTATTTCATGGATTGTCCCAGTTTGTAACCATCACTCTCCTGGAGACAAATCAAATCTGTAATGCACTAGCCAGCTGGCTGTCAGAGTTGCTTCCCAAGGACTTCTGCTACCTAGGAGCATATTAGGACTGGAAGCAGTATGTCCCTATTACTTCAAACAGTGACTGGGACTCCATGACCCCCACTTGGGATTTTTAATGAATAAATCTCTCTCGCCCCCAAACTGCCTTTAGGCAGACTGCTGTCAGAACTAGAATCTACTAAGGAACCAGCAGTTACCGTAATGGCTATGTCACTGGACTCCCACATAGTCAACCACGGTTTGCGTCCCGGACCCGGTGGCTTAAAACTCACGCCAGGCACGTGTGCGTGTGTGCCCAAGATCCCGAGAGGAGAATGGAGGAGAAGGGATTGCGGCGTGACCATCCCCCCTGGGGGGTGATTTCTCGCTTTCTGTCTCTCTGTCTCTCTCTGTCTGTCTGGCGAGCGCACGCGCCCTATAGTGAAAACCTCTCCAAAAAAACCCCACTAGAATCTACTTTATGCAATACATAACCCTACATGCTAAATAAAAGTCTGCACACATTTACACATAATGTATATGTCCTTAGTAGACTTTATAGATGAGGACACTGAGACTTGAAGAGGAACTTTGGCAAGACTACATCATTAGAAACGACAGAGAAGGATTCTGCCTCAAATCGGATTCTAAGGACTACACTGCACTGTCAATGTAGATTTCAGGTAATTTAGGGATATTTGAGGCAAATCACCCTCCTAGTTCAGTTGCTTTGGGGAAGTCAATTCTTCTAGAGTTTTCTTCCCTGCAAATCGTTGACCTGATACTTTCACAGTATAAATACTATGTTTTAATAATGTTGGTTCTAAAAATTGTATGTATGTCAGTAACATCTAAAGATTGCAGAATTTCTGTTCACAAATTTGGGGTAGAGTCTAAGAATTTTCACTTCTAACTCCTAGGTGATACTGATGATGCTGGCCTAGAGATCATCTTTGAGAATTACTACTCTTTATGTATATGTGATACACATGTGCATATATATGCACTATATTTATAAAATTAAGCTATAGCCACCATAATTAAATAATTCAAGTATGTTTTAGTCTTGGCACATCAATGAGTCAAGTTCATATTCTTTTATTCATCTACCCAATAAATGAAAAAATCCAGAGAATCATGTTTAATAGAATATTCCTAGTTCTAAAATATTTGCCATTGCTTAAAAAAATGAATTTTGTTACTGGCATCAGTTCCTATGTGACATTTCTTTAAAAAGCAAAATATATTGGTGTGATATCTCATAGGGTAACAATGTGTCAGAAGTTATTCTGTAAATATACAGTAGAAGCCTAAGTTGTGTTAAAGTGTATTGGTCTGAGAAAGCCTCTGTGCTCCTGCTTTAGTTTTTGTAAGCAAACTGCAAACTCACTTGGAAAACTGCTTCTTCAGCGAGTTGCTGAGTTATAGCCAATCACAGTAGCCACATTTCAGTCAATCCCAGAAAGGCCACCCTTTAAACTGTGTTAATGCAGGCAAACATCAAGCTGCAACCAATCCAATTATTTCTCTACCTCATTCTCCCACTTTCATTGTTGGACCTCACATCCCTTTCTTGATTATGAATATATTCAACCAGGAGGCTACCTGGAGTCCCTTGGAAGCCATTCTGAGGTTTGTGGGTTTTTTTTTTTTTTTACTCAATTAAACTCTATTAAATTATGAAGTTTTCCTTTTAACCTTTTTTTTTTTAAATTTTACTTTCCACTATTTGATGTCTAGCCTTCACTAATATTAACAACTGATAACTAGTATTATTTTGATACCAGTCATTTATTTACCTATTTCTTTCAAATTTAGTAACTACCTACTTTAAAACATATTCTCAAGTATTTCATATTTTGGGTTAATTAAAAAACAACAGAAATTAGTGATTTGAACTTACCATATAGTGAGAATTGAATTAAGAAGAATACAGACTGCAATTTATAAGGTAATTTATGAGTGAGTTTGAGAAACTTTTTGGAGCATGTTACTGACTTCTTGACATGTACTGAATTTTCTAAAGGCCCCCCAGGGTCCCCTCCACAAGACCCCCCTGGACTTAGGCCTCTTTGAATGGCTCTGATTAACACATGTCACTAATATCCGTGTCACATACATGTGCCCCACTGTTACTTTAGTGGCCCCACAATTGGTCCAGTTCTTGTTTTTATAATCCTTGAAAAGCAAATGGATCCCAGACCCCTGACTTTGACATTTTACTTTAACATCCATTATTTCAAGCAACAGATCTCAGAGGACATCCATTCCCTGTAATTTGGGCAAGAGTGTGTCTACTCAAGGTTATGCCTTTATTTTAGATGGCTGATAAGCCATCTAAATGAACCACTTAATTAAAGTGGGACTTCAAATGCATAGGAATATGTGTATAATTATATAAAGCTTACTACAATTCTATATATATAGTCATATATATTTGTTGAGGATTTTCAAATGACAATTTTATTAGTATATATACATTCTATTAAAATATTATTTATCCTATCTAATAACTATGATTATTACCATTTCTGCCTCCTGGAAACATTATAAAGAATTTTATACCTAGAACATAATATACTTTTTTAAAAAAATACAACATGAATCCATTTTTATTCATTTACTTTTCATTATTTTAAATCCTTGGGGGGTACAGCATCACATAGATTCTGTGTCCAATGGTCTTAGCAGGAAGATTGCTTTGGAATTTGACTTGAACTGTGCCACTGTTTCCATGGGCTCGGGTAACCTTTCCCCAGATTACTCTGGTTTGATTTGTTTGCCACCAGGAGTCACTGGTTTTTTTTGCTTTGTGCACATAAGCACACCTCTTGCCTAAATAGAATTCCATTTCATCTCATGCATAAACACCCTCAATTTTAAGAAGAGCTGTGTGCTCCCTTTAGTTCCTGAGACCCTGCTGATAGCCAGCAAAAATGGCCTTGGACCACAGCCTTACAGACATAGTTGCCTTTTAGAAGTCTTGTTCCCAGCAGGCCGCCACAGGCTCCAAGATGGTGGAAAGAATGAACCTAATACACTTTTAAATCTTCTTCTATTTCAAAGAAGCATAGTTTAAAATAATAACATCTTTTGTTAAATACAGATTATTTCAAAATTATAAAATATATACAGCAAAATACTTGAACTAAATGTCTAATACCTGTTCTCCACATACGTCCTTGTGTACACAACAGTGTCCTTTGGTCCTGCATGCTTAGTTCCAGCACTTGTGCTGTAACACAAACCATTTTACTTCATGTTTAACATTTATTTAGGAAGATTAAAATCAAGGCTATTATCCTATTCAGTGCCAAAATAATGCTCATATATTCCTTGTAGTCTATAATCATTGAAATCTAAAATGTTAAAAATGGAATTAATCCACTTCTGAAAAAATTTCATTTTTATTCCATTTTGTTCTTGACTTTTATTGTCTTGGCCTACTTCCAGAATAGCATTGTAAAAACTGGTCACTTGGTTCCATTTTTGTAGCACATGAAGATAATTTTGGATATTTGTGTAAGATGTGCTTAGTGTCAGTTTCCTTGTTGTCACAGTTCCCATCCATAACTTTTTGCCAAAACCTCAAACAAAAAAGTAGAACTTAATTAACTGTCATGACTCTGACTGAACAGAGCCTTCTGATCTACATAAAGAATGTCAACACTACTGTCACAATTGTGCTTTTTTGAAATCATAGACTTTTTAAGGAAAAAATCACATTTTACACTTTCTTTATCTAAATGTCAAAATAATGATTGAGTTGATATCTCAATACTTTAGTGTAAAGCTATTTACATATACCCTCAAACAAAATTAGAAATTTCTTCATTTAAAGAAAGGGGTCAGGTGGAAATTAAAAAAAAAAAAATCAGAAAGAGAGAGAGAGAGAGATTAGTCCTGTCATTTGTCCCGTAACTAACCAAGTACCTGAGATTGTTCCTAGCATCATAAGGATAGGCAGTAGTTCTAGTGGGTTGATTGCGTGGAGCATCCATGAGTCCATTTACTTGGCCATCTGACCTAAGAAAGCAAGTGCAAGTATTTGGCACTTAAAATCAACACTATTTTATTTTATTTTATTAATTTTTAAAATTAATCCACTCAGTTCTCATTATTTTACACATAGTAAACCTTTTTAGGTTTGGCTAGCTTCTGAAGATAAACAAATAGAATACATGAACAAGAACTATTTCATTTCCTCCACAGAAACCATCATCTCACATTGAAGAATAATCTGCAGACATGTGCCACATTATCTAACACGAGGATAGAATACCTTTTTATCAAAGACAGAAACCTTCTGAAATTGATGCCTGTAACATTTTCACACTAGCAATGCTGTGTAAGAAAGCGCTTCATGTAAAATATCTCTGCGAGTTTATCAATTTAATGGAAAGGATCCAGGGTTTGCTTTGAGAAATTCTGTTTTCCGGTTTTGTTTTTGTTTTTGTTTTGTTTTGTTTTGTTTTGTTTTTAGTGGAAGACAATACATTTAAGAGTGCAGAAGAACTCTGACCTAGATTTTTGCTAATCTAAAAATGTCACTGTGTTTAATGAAGTGTAGACCTATTTGCTTTTTCCTATGGAACACAAGAAATTTTTAATCTAAGAATAGTGGAAATTTTAGCTCCCTTTTCTCCTTCATGTTAGTAAACTCTGACATTGAAGAGACATGGAAACCTAAAGGACAGTTTCGATCTTAATCAAGTCTTATCATTCTCAAACAGGTTGTTCTTTCCATTTCCAGATAGCTCTATAAAGAAGAAGAAAACTTTGTTCACATATTATTATCTCTGGCAAACAGAAAGTCACCTTCCATTTTACGGCAGATGTTTCAAGAAGCCAAGAAACATACAGCAAAGTTAAAAATTGTACTAAGTAATGAGAAGGTAGAATTAATATGCCTAGAAGGATTTCTATATGATAATTATGTCATTTCAGGAATCATAAAGCTAGTTATAAATTGTTTGAAAATATTTAAATCATATAATATACAATACAAACCCCAATTAAACCAATGGACAACTTCAAAGGATGATAGGTGTGTTTGAAACGTGTTTGCATTGTCCTCAGCAATATAAAATCAAATATCACTAGTTTGCAAAATCTACAAAAAAGAGAAATAATTTGCAAAAAAATACTGTTCTGAAATGAACACCAAAGAGTTCATATAGTGAAGCTTTAAACACCACCATGACTGTATTTGGAGACTGGGCCTGAGCGGGTAATAAAGCTTAAGACAGATTATAAGGGTAGTGCATTAGTCCTTACAAGAAGAGGAAGAGATACCAGGAATCTCTCTCCTTCCTTGCATAAAGGAAAAGTCCTGTGAAGACCCAGCAAGAAGGCAGCCACCTACAAGTCAGGGAGTTAAGTCTCACCAGAAACGAATCCAAATAGCACCTTGAACTCGGACTGCTAGCCTCCAGATCTGTGAGAAAATAATTTGTGTTGTTTAAGCCACTCAGATTGTGGCATCTCGTTATGGCAACCTGGGCAGACTAATACAGGTACCATTTGTTATGTTTATAATGAGATTGATGTCAATGCCTTCATGAAAGATTTACTTTATGTAATTGTGAATAAAAACCAAGTGTTAGATTGGGGAAAATGTTAGATGTGGGGCAACAAACTCTTTGATGGATTTTGCTCTTCATACAGGTTTTGAGGATGACAGGCTTTTTAAAAGATAAAGCTTTTATTTTGGAGTAATTTTAATTGTGTGAACACAGAACAGAGAGACCCTGTGTAAGCTTCACCAAGCTTTACTAAGGTCAATATCTTACATGTCTTAATAATGACACACTTGTCAAAACTGAGGAATTAATGTTTGTCCCATACTATTAACGAACCTACAAACTTTATTCATACTTCACTAGTTATTCCATTTTTGTCTTTTCTCTGTTCCAGACCCCAGCTCAGTATACTGCCTCACATAATCATTATGTCTCTTTAGTCTTCTAGAGACTGATAATTGCCTAATCTTTGTGTTTCATGAGATAGTGATAGAGTTTATAAAAAGAAAATTCTATCCTGATGACCATACATGATAACATTAATTTTATTTGTTATTTAGAACTACAGAATAGAGAGACAACACTTTGGCAAGCAGTGAAATAGCTTGTAGTGCTTTTAAAAATACAACATAGTTCCATATCCAGATATTCTGATTTAACTGGGTTGAGGGCCAGTGTGGCTCTGAGATTCTTCCAGCTTCACTAGCTAGGCTCACAGGCAGTCAAGGCTGAGAACCTCCCATTAGCAGTAAGGAAGTCCAACATGTTACTCCCCGAAAAAGCACTGATTCTCAAAGTGCGGTCCTAGAACAGCAGGTGGTCCCAATGTACAAAAGTTTGGGAACCAGAAACACCTCTGCCAAAGTATTCTGCTCACATGCCTTAAATAACTCTTAAAAGGGTGAACTTGTGACTCCCAGTGTTTGTCACTTGACCATTTCATTGTCAAAAATGTATCCATGATTGAAACAAATTGCTGAGGTATAACTTCCAATCAACGATCAGAGTTCCGTTTGGTAATTAAATACTGACGCTACAAAACACAACCTCCAATTTCTGTTGAATATTACAGACTTCCAAATGGGATTCTTGAGGAAATACTTCCTACAGTGGAAATTCACCCTGAAAATTGACCTGTCTGAAGCCATCCTCACATACTAGTAGCGAGAATATAAAATGCCGTGGCTGCTTTGAGAATGGTCTGTCAGCTCTTCAAATGGTTAAACACAGAATTACTATATTATTCAGCAATTTCACTCCTATATTTCTAAGAAAAATGAAAACATATTTCCATACAAATACTTGTGCATGAATTATTATTCAGCATTATTCATAATAGTGAATTACACTCAATAGTGGAAACAACCCAGCCATCCATTAACTGATTAATAAGTAAATAAATCTGCCTGGTTGCCTTATCTCTATATAATTTTTTAAAGTATTGCATATTCTTAAAGTCTATAAAATATCTCTGTAAGATTTATTTCACTAAACATTTGGAAAAATACTTCATCATTTAGAATTTGGATAAAAATATTTAAAGTTATTCCTCATGAATCAAATAAAAAAATACAGACCCCTTATCTAAAATACTTGGGATCAAAAGTGGTTTAGATTTCTAATATTTTTGAAGTTTTGACTATTTGCATATACGCAATGAGATATCTTAGAGATAGGATCCAAGTTTAAACACAAAATTCTTTTATGTTCTATTAATTCCTTTCACATATACCAGAAGGCGATTTCATACAGTATTTTTTTATTGCAGCATTTTGACTATGATCTCACATGAGGTCAGGAATTTTCCACTTCTGGTCAAATCAGTGCTCAAAAAGTCTCAGATTTCAGAGCACTTAGGATTTCATATTTTCAAATTAGAGATGTCAACTTGCATTTACTTGCGCATTAATTACAACACAAAGTAAATACATTGATAAAATGATTCAAATCTCAGTTTAGCAGACTGGCCATGCATTTCTAATTTGAGTCTTTAGAATCCATGAAAAATTAGAGAAAAACTAAAATTATAAGGGAGCAGAAACTGAGGAACAGCAAAAAATTCTTGGTTATCAGATACAGAGCAGAGATTAAGGAAGTTAAGAGGTAGAGGGGTAGGGGACTGGCAAGTGGCATAGTGGTTAAGGGCGCTGACTTTCACATGGCTGACCACGGTTTGAGTCCCGGACCTGGTGGCTTGCTTTCTCACTTTCTCCCCCTCTGTCCCTCTCTGGTCAAGTTAAAATAAATAAATAAATAAATTTAAATAAAATAATTCTTTTTAAAAAAAGAGGTAGATGGGTAAGCAAGAGAAAAATGGGCAGAAGCCAATACTCAGGAGCTAGTTGAGTTACATTAAGGACAAAGAATCAGGGATGATGTCCAGGATTCCTGATGAAATGTCTGGTCATGAATGAAGAAACCTTCAACCAGGTTTCTCTGAGGCTCAGCCATACCACCATTCTGGCTTAGAATTTCCATGTAGTTCCATTTCCTCATTAATCTCTCTGATAAAACTCTATTCATCAACAAGTTCCACTGAAACAGGAGCACCTCTCAGAGCACATTACATGGGAAGTCCCTTAATTATTCTTAATTAATTACTCGTAGGTTTTTTTTTTCTTTTTCTTTTTCACCTTAATCACTTCCAAAAAAAAAAAAGTTTGAATGAAAGTGATTAATTATAACCCCCATCCTATTCCTATAATAGTGGATGTTCTTACAGAATAAGCAGATCTAGTAAAAATTTATCCTTCCTCAATCTACCGAAGACTTCTTGGGATCACAAAAAACAAAGCAGAAGTAGATTTTGGAAACTAAGAGAAAGACACTATTATCTGTTAGACTCAAGAGTCATGTGTATGCATTTAGTAAAATTAAAAAAAAAAAGTGAGCCAATTCTTTCCCTTGCTTATCCACCTTCTACAGACAATATAAACAATATTATTTCTTTATATTAAAATAAATTAACAACAAAATTGGTTACACTTTAGGAAGGCTAAAAATAAAAACTTATTATTTTTAGGATTCTCCTGTGTGTGGGGAGAAGAATTGCTAAATATGTCAACGTTATTAATTCTTTCTTAATTTAAAGTTTGTAACAACAATGAAATATAGCTTCTATCTTCATAATGGCAAGCAAGGTATAACAGTTTTAAAGCCATTATGCTCTGTTGGTGCAAAGAAATTTCAAAATTAGGTCTTGTTTTGAGACTGTGATGAATTTTTGCATTCTTTTAGCACTAGGTATCCAAGGAAGAGATTCCCAGAGTGCTTTATGCACTGCTAAAAACCTTCCAAGCAACAGTAAGTAAAAATAAATCTTTACAACCCGAGAGCTTTGAATTTCCATAATGCCTTTTACACTAATAGAACAGTATGCCATTAGTCACAAATTCTAACGGAATTAAAATTGTAATATTTTCCATATCATCCATGAAGAATACGATACCATAACTTTTATTCCTGTTATCTTTTTTTTAATTGCCAGAAGGCACATGTGCTGTCACCAGAGAGACAGAGATGGAGGAGAAGAGCACCACTCAATGGGGGCTGGTCATGCTGCAATCCCTTCCCTTATTTCTTCATTCCATAGCGTATGATGCATGCAACACATGCACCTGGTGTATTTTTCAAGCTACCGAGGTTGGAATGAAAACCCACAGTCAGCTATGTGGGATCTGGCTTCATTCACTACTAGGTTATGGGGTCAGCCCTTAACTTTTTGTATTTGGATAGTATTTATATATAAATACTGTAATACAATTTAATTCCCCATAAAATATTCTAAGGTCACACAATTTATGCAGGTGCATGTGGAATTCATAAGAAAAAAAGTAAATGATAGTATGTCTTACCTTCCATTCTTATTTTCCGGTACCTGAGACTTTACTTCAATTACATTTTTTAAGTCCTGGTCTCTAAAGGAGAAGAAAAAAATAAATAAAAAAATAAATAAGTACACACACACATCAAGAGTCATGTGTATGCATTTAGTAAAATTAAAAAAAAAAAGTGAGCCAATTCTTTCCCTTGCTTATCCACCTTCTACAGACAATATAAACAATATTATTTCTTTATATTAAAATAAATTAACAACAAAATTGGTTACACTTTAGGAAGGCTAAAAATAAAAACTTATTATTTTTAGGATTCTCCTGTGTGTGGGGAGAAGAATTGCTAAATATGTCAACGTTATTAATTCTTTCTTAATTTAAAGTTTGTAACAACAATGAAATATAGCTTCTATCTTCATAATGGCAAGCAAGGTATAACAGTTTTAAAGCCATTATGCTCTGTTGGTGCAAAGAAATTTCAAAATTAGGTCTTGTTTTGAGACTGTGATGAATTTTTGCATTCTTTTAGCACTAGGTATCCAAGGAAGAGATTCCCAGAGTGCTTTATGCACTGCTAAAAACCTTCCAAGCAACAGTAAGTAAAAATAAATCTTTACAACCCGAGAGCTTTGAATTTCCATAATGCCTTTTACACTAATAGAACAGTATGCCATTAGTCACAAATTCTAACGGAATTAAAATTGTAATATTTTCCATATCATCCATGAAGAATACGATACCATAACTTTTATTCCTGTTATCTTTTTTTTAATTGCCAGAAGGCACATGTGCTGTCACCAGAGAGACAGAGATGGAGGAGAAGAGCACCACTCAATGGGGGCTGGTCATGCTGCAATCCCTTCCCTTATTTCTTCATTCCATAGCGTATGATGCATGCAACACATGCACCTGGTGTATTTTTCAAGCTACCGAGGTTGGAATGAAAACCCACAGTCAGCTATGTGGGATCTGGCTTCATTCACTACTAGGTTATGGGGTCAGCCCTTAACTTTTTGTATTTGGATAGTATTTATATATAAATACTGTAATACAATTTAATTCCCCATAAAATATTCTAAGGTCACACAATTTATGCAGGTGCATGTGGAATTCATAAGAAAAAAAGTAAATGATAGTATGTCTTACCTTCCATTCTTATTTTCCGGTACCTGAGACTTTACTTCAATTACATTTTTTAAGTCCTGGTCTCTAAAGGAGAAGAAAAAAATAAATAAAAAAATAAATAAGTACACACACACACACACACACACACACACACGTCTTCAGAAAGCTTATGGAAATGTGTATATGGAAAATTATGGATAGATTTTAAAATATTTTTGTCCCAAAATAAACACTTTGATTTTTTTCATAAACTTGGTTAAATACCCCCTCTGATTCAGTTGCAACAAAATTTTTAAAAATAAGCAAATATTAAAATAAAGAATTTAAAAATCAGTACACAATCTTAGACATAGTCGTTCTTGGTTTATAAAATAAGGGAGATTAGAAATTCGAAGCTGCATTATTTGATAATAAAACTCATAAATCAAATAGGAATGCTTGAATTACACTTAGAGAGATAAAGAACTAACTTTTTAGAAGACTTGGGGAATCTGGTTGGAAAAGAAATCACGGATTTATATTCACATTCAGCTAACACTTAATGATTACTGTGTCACAACGTGTGTGTATTTTCACATGGATCATCTCGTTCAGAGCTCGCAAAATTTGACAGGACAGTATTGGGGGCTCAGAATTTTTCAAGGACAATTAAATGATTCATGGAGAAGTCAAGATTTGAGAACAAGTCACCTAGCCACCTGAAATTAATTCTTGGATATTTTACCTAAAGGCTTTATTCAGGCTTTTGGGATATGAAGACATGAAAAACCAACCAAAACTTCGAATGAACAATTTATAACATGGAGGATAAATGGGGTGATTGGATTCTTAAATCTTGGGCTGCATTAATGATTCGGCACTCCTCCATGAGCTACAAGGTCTTCTGATATGTGATTTATATATTAGCCATGTGTATAGTGGTATAACTGATAGTTCTATGGTGATTTTTAGTTTGTTTGTTTCTTTTGCTTTTTATTCTTTATTTCATGAGTCTGGAAAATGTTGCCATTGTCATGAACCCTGCGGGGTAGAAAGCATTACTTAGGCGTCAGAACAATGAGACCCATCCCTTCACTTACTTCCTTGGGCAAATTAGTCAACCATTCTAAGCTTCATTTTGTAAATTAAGATACTAATATCCAATCTCATAGGGTTGTGGTAAGAATAAATGAGCTGCTATAAAAATAAAAATGGCACAATGACCCCATTTGTGGTAAACTGAAAAAGCATAAATAAAAAACAGTAGAAGTGCTACAGCAATAGGTGCTATTGATTCCATTCTTACTGCATTTTCATTTTTATTTCTGTCCTAAATTTTTGCGTCTTTGAACTTAACAGCAGTTCTTTAAAATTTCCTTTCTCATGGCTCCCAAGAGTGGGCTTAACTCTTTATTATATATGGAATCAATATGTGGATGCCCATTCACAAAATTAATATTGATAAAGATGCAAAATACATAAAAATGTTCTCATCTTTATGTGGAGTAGATGCAATACTCTTTTTAATTACACCCAACCTTCAATAATTGATACATTATGCAAATTTGGCAGCATTCCCTAGCCACCTTACTGGGCTGTTGGGAAAATCATGACATATTTTGGCATAAAAAACATAAAAAAATATATCATGACTTTCCCAGTGACCTAATAAACCTCACATTTAAAATATTAGTTGCATGCTTTTGATAATGTAGAAATTAGGGTACATTACTTTTTAATGTGAGTTACAAAGAAATTTGCCAGTTAATGCATGTAAAAATCATGAGATTTCAGAAGTAGCTCAGAAATATCAAATCATTTCATTCTGCAGTCCGAATGATGTAAAATTCAAAACTGAATTCCTCAGCATAGCTGCTAGAACTGAATAAGGTAACCTTCCAGCTTGCACCCTGAAAATTTAGAAATGAAGACAGAGGGTTTTGAATTTGCCAAACTCTTGAAAGTCTTTAATAACTGCTAGAACCACCTTCTTGGCAAAAAGAGCCACTGTACCATCTTGATGGCTTTAGTCATTAGGTGATCTTTCCTTCAATGCTTTAAGTAATACTTTACTAAAGACTTGGAGGTAATGGAATAAAATAAAATGAAGTATCGTAGTATTCCACAATCCATTTTCCTAGGATTGTCAGACAGGTATGGTTGGCAGGGGGAATGGTCAAAGATTACCAGGAAATGTAAATTTTGCACCATTCAAACTTTGTCCCAGGGAAGTGATTGTCTCTATGGCTAATACTAGAGAAATTGAGTGTCATTTTTCTAAGGAAACTGGTAGCTTGCATTACACCTTGAGAGCAGGGTCGTGTTATTATGACCTCACATTGCCTTACACATAGTAGCTACTCCAGAAATTTTTGTGGAACTAGCTTGTGTGAGTTTAAGCCACCAGGTCCAGGACTTGAACCATGGTTGACTGACTACACAGGAATCCAGTGACATAGACATTATGCCAACTGCTGGTCCCATTGTGTTTCTTTTCTTTTTTACCCCACTCTCAGCCCTGGCTTCATTTAGTTGTGTTTTGTTGTGGTTTCAATTGTATAACCCCAAAATTCATATGTTAAAGTCCTAACTAACAGTACCTCAGAATGTGATTCTATTGAGAGACAGGGTCTCTACAGAAGTAATCAAGTTACATGACTGATGTCTTTATATGAGGAAACTTGGATTCAGACACACACAGAGGAAAGATAATGTGAAGACACAAAGTGGAGGCAGCCATCTACAAGAGAAGCAGAGAGGCCTGGGATAAGTCCTTCCTTCAGTCTCAGAAGGAAACAATCCTGAAGACAACTTGAACTCCTTGAATTCCTGGCCTCTAGAATTATGAGAAAATGAATTTCTGTGTTTATCCCACCCGGTCTGTGATACTTTGCCTCAACAACCCTAGCAAGCTAATATAGATCTGCTTCTACCCTCCCAGTAGATTACATCTATTTCTCAGCCTGATGGTGGGCACCTCGATTCCTCTGGCACATTCCAGTCCTGGCTGCTGCAGATACTGCTTCCTTGCTCTGACTACAACACTCATCCCAGCCATTTTGGACCGTAGTTGAGGTGAGGAGGAGCAAGAATGGGTTTGAAACTGAGGAAGGAGGGAAAGCCAGACCTTATCAATCCAAATGCAGGTAGATAATTCAAGGTCAGAACCTCTGCAAATTTTCAAAGAAGCATCCTCCCAAAGTGGCACAATTAAGAATCATCAGATAGACTATTTTATTATTGGTTTCATAGATTTTTTTTCCTTGTTTTATTAACCAGTATCACATGTCAAGTTTGGTAAGTGGTAAGATTTCAATCTAAATAATCTACTCTAATGTTTAAAGCAAAATAGAAAGTTCCAGATTATGAAGAATACAAAACTGTATTTGCTATGCTTATTCACCCTGATCAATGTCATCAGCTAGATTTAAAGATGCAATGAAAGAAATTCAGACTGCTCATAAAATTCCCAAATTAAAGAATATAAAAATAAATCTTTGTTCTTTAATTAAGACTACATCTATTGCATAGTGTCTTTTATGCTTTGGTAAATGATGAAGAGCTGTGAGTCAAAGTGTGAAAAATAGATTTTTATAGAAGTCCAGATAAATGCCGCTGAGCTGAGCAAACGATTGATTGCAAAGCCTTTCCACAGCAGTTGAAGTAAGACCGTATAAATTTGTTCATGTACAAGCAGTTGGAATTCATTCCAAGAAAATCACTAATTCTTGGTAGACACAAGGAATTGCTAATCACCAAAATTTTGCAACTAATGATTTTTTTTAAGTTGATTTCAAATGTTTAGGGAAACTATAGGTTACCTATGGGATAAAGCCACAGGAAAACTTTTTAGTATAAAAATTCATCCTTGTTGAGGGACCAGCAGATGGTGTAACAGTTATTTTGCTGGACTCCCACATAGTTGATTGCGATTCCAGTCCTGGACCCAGTGACTTAAAACTCACACTGGGTGCATGTCCAAGATCCTGAGAAGAATGGAGAAGAAGCGATTGCAGCATGGCTGTACCCTCTGGGCGAAGGTGTGATTTCTCATTTTTCTGTCTCTCTGTCTCTCTCTGGCAAGCACACATAATCTATCGTAAAAATCTCTCCCTAAAAAAATAATAAATAAAAGAATTAATCCATGTTATACTAGTGTAATTCATTTTCCATTTCCACATTAAGGAATGTAACAGTCCCTTATAAAGCAGATTAAGACAAAAACAGAAGTTCCTCAGACCTAGGAATTATGTCTCTTACTCTTTAACTTTTTCTAGGTGCAGTTCTGCATGAGAAAGCAATATTAGCTCACTCCAAACTTTTCTTCCTCTGTCTAAGGGTGCGGGAGATATTTATTAATTGAAAGCAATATATTTCTCCATAGATAGTTAACTTAAATTGCTTTTATAGAATGTCAAACACATTGACTAAATTAAGAGCCACAATGTAAGAAATTTACTACAGCTTTTCTTTTATGCCAGAAACTAAATCTCAGACATTAGTTTAGTTCAAAAGGAATATTTGCTTCTCTGAAAGCAGTACGGCATGTAGTCAGATAACTGGTATAATGCCTGAATGTATTGACATAACAAAATGGGCCCAACCTTATGTATTTTACAATTGCTTTCAATGAGGGAATGTTAAATATTTTATATGAAAGAAATCACAAGTCCATAGATAAGTGGGACAATTTAGATGTTTATGTAAGATGTACCTCAGAATTTCAGTGGCTCGAATTCACTATGATCACTGAGACTATGTCATGAATAAGAGATCTGCTCAAGTAAGGAGATCTGCCATAAGAAGTCAGATTTCCTTCTGTGTAGTTTCATTTGTAGGGCTGAGAATGTTAGAACTGGTAGGCAATAACCTTCATCTAGATGGACTACCATAAGGCATTGATTAGTTTGAGATTTCACCTTTAATATTTGTTAAACACCTAATAAGTGACAGGTATTGTGCTATACACTATAAACATAGAAATGAATAAGAGAGACCCCCATCCTTACCCTTAACAGTCTTATAGTCAGGGAGAGATGATTAAATAATAATTTCCTCTAAAAGTCAAATGCATTGGAACAGGAGGTTCAGAGAACTTGAGAATATCTAGATGAAGCACCTGACAGGGACAGTCAGGCGAGCTTCACAGAGCCTAGATAAGCTTACACCTGAGGGATAATAAGAAGCTATCCATACAATAGTGATGCAGGAAGACGAAGAATGTGCAAGTCAGTGAAGAATGAAGTGTGAGCAGTGTTTGCTTGTGGTGGAAAGTAGAAAATGGAGCTGGGAAAACCCACGAGGACAAATTATGGCGGGCTTTGTGGAGCAGGTTAAGGAGCAGGACTCTTATCCAAGGCAATAGGAAGCCATTGGAAGACTAATCAGGAGAACGACATGATCAGATTTGTGTAACTCCACAGTGTGGCAAGTGAATTGAAGGACAGAAGGCAAGCCAGGCAGCAGAGGGCCAGTTAGGAAGCTGAACAGTCATCTAGCTTCTAGTAATAGTGGGGATGGTGAGGTGTCTTGGACCACTTACTGAGGTCACTTAGAGAAGCAGCCAAAGTGACTCAGTGATTGCTAAAGGGGAATGAAGCAGCAGACAGAGTGAAGGTTATACCAGGCTTATATCTTGAATAGAAATATGAGAAACATGCTTTAGGAAGATGGGATGGAACTCTTTTTTGGTGGAATACTAAAAACTTGGAGTTATATGTCTTAACAAATAGAAACTCTTAAAAAGATGGGAGTAAATCAGAGTCAGATAGTGACACAGTGGTAAAACATGATGTGTTTTGAGGCTGACCCATATGGAAGGTTCTGGTTCTCATCTAGAGAATTTCCTGAGTACACTAGGCATGCATACATGTCTAATAACCTAGGGCTAGTAGATGCTGGAAGTAGATCATGGCATCAGGACCTCATTGGGAGTTCTCTCTCTCTCTCTTCCTCTCCCTCTCATTCTCTGCCTCCTCTCATTCATAGAATAAACAAAGTTTTAGAAGATGAAAGTATAATGCCACAAATAGTTAAGAACATTTTCTCTACATCAAAAATGCCTTTTCCAACTCTAATGGCATTAGTGTTGCTCGATGCTTTTAAGTATTCATTTGGGGACAGAAATTCAGTTTGAATAATTAATATAACAACAGTTTATAGGCTATAGATTACTGAATATCTGTCTTTAATGTTGGTTCATGAAAATGTGATTAATGTTGGTTCATGAAAATGTGAAGCTATGCCTGCTAAAAGTAACATTTCTTGCCAAATGAATGAAAATTCTGCGCGCATCTGCCTTTGTTCTGGTTGTTGTGTTCCTAGAAGGAGCCTAGGGATGCCTGCTTACATTCTGATGGATGACTGAGGCTTATTCAGCCCCTCACTGTGAATTAAATATACAGCTGCTGGGAATGTCAGCAAAGTCACATAAAAGAACTCCGATTCACTGCTGTGATACCACTAAGTAATCAGTGCATATGTCACATTGGACTGATGGAAAAGGGTCTTGTGGCTGTTCTTTACATGGGAAGGCACTTTTAAATATCTTTCTCTTTACCTACATTGAAATCAAGAAGGCAGCATGGATACATTATGGATACAGGTGGCTGAACTCACTGGATGAAGACACTCGTCTCAAATGGACCATTTAGTCTTTCTAGCCTTCTTGCTCTGTGATAGTTCTACATCCTGGCTGACCATCAAATCTGGTATACTATTAAAGAGTAACCAAACACAGTTTAGGTTATATTTGTGTATCAAGCTGACATTTTTTAAACAAGATGATGGCCAATATTCAGAAGTTTATTTTAGGAGTAATTATATCTGTAGAAAGGAACTTCCTTCATTATATAGATATTTGATTAAGAGTTGCTGAAATACAAACTGCCTTTTCATAAAATTAGCCTCTTCTATGAAAACATAAGACAACACTCCATTGTCAACATAGCTCATTTGTTAGGCAAGGAGAGAGGGAAGAGGTGTAGAGGGTGTGGAGCGAGAGAGAAAGAGAAACATACTGTGCGTTCCACTGTTCTTTATCACATGATGTAGTAATTGAACCTAACCACTTCCAATATGACTGGGGATAGACTAAAACTGTTATTGATTAAAAGAATAATCTACCCCATAAATATCACCTACCAAAAGTGATTATTCTATGTAATGAAGATATTTTATTTTTTTAAGAATTATTTTTCTTTAACTTTATTTATCCATTTATTTCATTTATTTTAATTTGACCAGAGAGGGACAAAGTGAGAGAGAGAGATAAAAAGTAAAAATGCAAGCGGCCAGGTCTGGGACTTGAACCATGGTCAGTCATGTGAGAGTCCAGCGCCTTTAACCACCACACCACCTGCTGGCCCCCTTAACGAAGATATTTTCATATGATTATCAGTAGTAGAGTCTGCACCAAAAGTCTGCTGTTATTTCAGGTACTAGAAAATTTCCATGTAGCAAATGCTTTCTCTCCTCCTCCCTGTCATTTTAACAGTAATTCTCTAGAATAAGGATATGTAATTATAAGCTTTTTTTTTTTAAGAGAGAGAGAGATTTTTGCTATAGGGTGTGTGCGCTTGCCAGAGAGACACAAAGTGAGAAATCACTCCCCAGGAAGATGGCCACACCTCAATCCCTTTTTCTCCATTTTCCACTTACGATTTTAGGCACACGTGCACACATACACCCAGTGTGAGTTTCAAGCCTCCAGACCCGGGACTCAGATTGAGGTTGACCATGTGGGAGTCCAGTGACGTAATCACTATGCCATCTGCTGGTCCCATGATTATAGCTTTTTACTGGGTATGGGAAGAGGAAAGACGTAGGAAATATAAAAGATAGGAGAAGAAAGTCTGAGCTGATTTAACCACAGGTCTTTGTCCTCTAGTTATAATATCAGAAGTACCTGAGCTCAAATTCAGGTGTGCTTTCTTTCTTGAGAAGTTATTTAGTAGCTTTGAGTTATAATGTCCTCTTCTACAAAATAAGGTGCATGAGTATATTTATCATGGGATTGTTATGAGGATTAGATGCACGCAAATTGCCAGTCCCACTGAAGATAGATAATAAATCATAGGTTCTTATTAACACTTGTTTTTCATTGGTCTTTGTACCTTCCTCCTTTGAAGATCCCAATGCCCCACTGATTAAAAACATACAAACAGCAAAATAAGGCACTGAGGCAGAAAACAATCAAGATGTGGAAGCTAGGCCAATCTGTGTGTTACACTGTCCTGGTGGACTCAAAGTGATTTTTTCATGTGTCAATTTGTTGTCTTTATCTCAGAGCTCTGATTCCCAACTATATATTAATTATGACAAAATTTCAAGTCAGCAGAATGATTTGGACATGTATCTTTTTTCCTTTTAAATTTTATTTATTTATTTCTTCCATGATGGATAGACAGAAAGAGAGAGAGGTACCACCAATGGGATCTTTCGTGCTGTAGTTTTAACCAACCAGATCACAGGTACGCAACCAGTGTACTTAGGGAGGTCCCAGAATGCAAATTTAGGATCTTTTCCATGTGGGTCTAGCTGAGTTACCACTACACCACCATCTGGTCCCAGTTTGGAGTGCTGATACACTCTGGTGCATTACCTATTACTTTACTATCTATTAATAAAGCACTTTAAGTGAAAGCTATCATATTAAATAGCAAATTATAAGCTATTTTCAGAACTCAGAATGGAAGCTCATGAGTAAAATCTGATGCAACAGTTTATGGGCCCATATTAGCGTGAAGCCTGAGATTTTTGAAGACACTGAATATTCTTTATAATGCTCTGTAGATATCCAGATAAATCACCAATTTGGTTCAACTTCTTCAAAATATTTTCCGTTCTAATTTAATTTTATTCATTTTTTTTTAGTTCAGAAACTCTTTTTTTATATAGACAACAAACACTAAGTAGTCTTATAGCAAATAAGAAGCCCAAATCTGATTCTAAAATATTAATAGAATAATTAATTCCAGAAGGGTGCAACATATTTTCTCATTGACAGAAGACACATGGGTTATAAATGTGTCTATATTTCAAACACTAAAGACAAATAAAAGCCTTCTTGAAAAATAAAAGGAAGGAGGAAAATTTCTACTTGAGAAGCTTGGGAACATGTCAATTAATCAGGCTAATTACCGATTAGTGTTTCTGATAGCTGAAGGTTTCACTTTGATAAGGTTATCCAAGTCTTGGCTATATAAAAGAGGAAAGAAAAAGTTCAGATTAGTAATAAGGTTTGGGTTGTGCTAGGTCAATAAAGCAACATTATAAATCCACTTCATCCAGGGAAATAGATAAAACATGAATTATCTGCTTTTATTTGATTACCTCTGATTGCTTCTGATTACAGCAGGATTTACTTTAATGAGGTGATCAAGATCTTGGTTTCTTTAAATAGAAAAACAAAAAGATCAGAGATATAATGTTCTTTTGGTTAAATCATTACAGTTATAAATCTATTCAAAATAATAATAAAATATTTTTTCTGACCAAAGCACATTAAAAATAATATAGTTCTATTACCTTTGGTTCTTCATGAGAATTTCAGGATTCACTTTAATGAGTTTATCAAGTTCTTTGCTCCTTTAAGTGGAAAAAAAATAAAACAGCTTGGGTTAGAGATAACAAAGGCTCAAGGTCACTGGAAATAGGAAGAAAGGATTATGCAATAATATGAGATAGATTATTTTGGTATAGAATGGACATGAACATGTTTTTTTGTTTTTGTTTCTTTTTAATTGCCAGAGGGCACATGTGCTTGCCAGAGAGATAGTGAGACAGAGAGAGAAAGCACACACCATTGGAGCATTGTCACCCTGCAATTACTCCTCCTCCATTTCTCCATCCAGTGGAGATTTGTGGCACCCACATACATGCTTTCCAAGTCACTGGGGCTGGGATATGAACTCTGGTGTGCCATTGGGCATCTGGCTCCCTTAACCACTAGTTCATGAAGTCAGTCTGTGAATGTTTTCTAAGCAACTCAAGGGAAGAATTAGGCTGTATCAGAAGAGAATTTCAGGATTCACACATTTCGTTGCCAGGATGTATCTACGAGGGCAGGTGAATTAAGTGCTCTACCTCGAACATGTGGGCAGTAGCAGTTTTACACTCTAAAATGTTTTAACATTGAAAAGCTACAAACTGATCCTAATGTCCTTGTCATTTTTTTTTTTTTGAGAGGTTTTCGTTATAGGGCGCGTGCACTCGCCAGACAGACAGAGAAAGACATAGAGACAGAAAGCGAGAAATGACCCCTCAGGGGGGACGGTCACGCCGCAATCCCTTCTCCTCCATTCTCCTCTCGGGATCTTGGGCACGCATGCACACGTGCCCGACGTGAGTTCTAAGCCACCAGGTCCGGGACACGAACCGCGGTCGACTACGTGGGAGTCCAGCAACATAGCCATTACGCCAACTGCTGGTTCCCATGTCCATGTCATTTTAAAAATCATATTTAGCAAAGAAGGATAGCAGCATTTTTTTAAAAAGAAATAAGCTCTAAAATTGCATTATTTTAAATGTAAGGCTTGGCAAAGTGAGCTCCAGCAATCCATTGTGACTTTTCTTTCCTGTATGACACTGAAAGTGGAATTAAACTCAGTTATTCTAATAATAGTCAAATTACCCATACTCACATGCCCACTCTCATTTGAAGCTCACCTGTTTATTTTTTCAGCCTCAGAACAGTATTTCTTCCCATCTGGTTTGCGATCATTCACTGCTTCACTATAAACACCCTTTTTACAAGGGCTAGAAAGTAGTGACCTTTCTAAGTGTTGCTCTAAAGCTCTTTTTAACATTTATTCAGAAAAAATACATGGCAGCCACATTGGCGAAAAATTATAGGACTTGTTTTCTGTAGCATCCGGGACAGCAACCTGTCTGTACTCCATACCCCTTAATAGTTCCTCTTCCTTACATAAAAATAAAATACATGCTATTCATCAAAACAATCGATGCATGGTTAGGAACTGAAGCCATTTAGAAACGAATAATGGGGACCAGCAATTAGCATAATGGCTACATCACTAGACTCCCATGTAGTCGACTGCAGTTTGAGTCCCAGACCCAGTTGCTTAAACTCACGCCTGGTGCATGTGTGTGCATGCCCAAGATCCCAAGAGGAGAATGGAGGAGAAGGGATTGTGATGTGGCCATCCCCCCCTGGGAGGGGGGATGATTTCTCACTTTCTGTCTCCTGTCTCTGTCTTTCTGGCGAGTGCATGCGCCCTATAGCAAAAACTTCTCCAAAAAAAAAAAAACATAAAATAAAATAATGAAAAAGGTCTGAGTTAAAGTTTACTCTTCCCTCCTCCAGTCCTCAACTTTTCCATGGACTATTCTTTCCAGCTCAGAGCTTCATTCAATTTGATCTTTTCATCATGGTTCCCACATGTAGGTTAACTCGATTTCTTTGAATTATCTTTTATAGTAATATTCTCAATCAAAGATAATCAATTAGTATTTATAAATCTTATTAAATGAATCATTGGCATATGAGAACTGTCCAAAACATAATTTCTTTGTACAAATTGATTGTAAAATCTGCTATAAAACTAAATTGTGCCAGAAATACAACAGTCCTTAAAATGAGATTAATCTTACATATTAAAAGAAAAAAATACAAAGAATAAAATTTTAAAGAGGGGACCGCATGTTTATAAGTTACATTTTTTTCTAGAGGTTTTTGCTATAGGCTGTGCACGCTCACCAGAAAGACAGAGAGAGACAGAGAGAGACAGAGAGACAGAAAGCAAGAAATCACCCCCCAGGGTGGATGGCCATGCCACAATCCCTTCTCTTCCATTCTCCTTTCGGGATCTTGGGCATGTACACACACAGCCCCACCGTGAGTTTAAGCCACTGGGTCCAGGACTTGAACTGTGGTCGACTACATGGGAGTCCAATGACATAGCCATTGTGCCAACTGCTGGTCCCCATGAGCTACATTTTTAACACATAAAATTAATCACAACATTTTTACTGTAACTACATATAATATTCATGTGTCAGTATAATTAAGAGTATGATAGAAATACAAAAACAAACTTGAGAGTTTCCATACTCACTGTTTCTGCTGAGCATATGAAATTTCATTTATTCAACAATCTGAAACAATAACACTCAAACCACTGTTTTATAAAGTCCAAGAAGGGACTTTAACCACTTTGTGCCACCTGCAAAGTGGTTAAAGTGCAGGACTCCCACATGACTGACCCTAATTCGAATTCAGACCCAGCAGCTTGAAAATTATCCCAGTGTGTATATGTGCATGCCCAAAATCCTGAGAGGAGAATGGAGAAGGAATTGCAATGTGGCCATCCCCTCTGGAGGTGAAGGGGTTCATTTCTCACTTTGTTTTTTTCTGTCTCTCTGGAAAGAACATGCACCCTATGGCAAAAATATCTCTTAAAAAAATTAAAAACCCAAGGTACCAGCAGTTGACATAATGGCTATGTTGCTGGACTCCCATGTAGTCAACCATGGTTCGAGTCCCGGACCCAGAAGCTTAAACTCATGCCGGGCGTGTGTGCATGTGTGCCCAAGATCCTGAGAGGAGAATAGAGGAGAAGGGACTGTGGCATGGCCAACCCCCCAGGGGTGATTTCTTGCTTTCTGTCTCTCTGTCTCTCTCTCTCTTTCTGGCAAGCACACACGTCCTATAGCAAAAATCTCCCCCCCAAATTTTTTTTAAAGTTTAAAAAAAATTAAAAACCCAATAAGAAATACTTTTAACATCACAGCTTAGTACTTCTTTTACAGGCAAGCAGACAGAGAGAAGTGTACACAAATACATATATATGCATACATTAAAACATAGATTTCATGATATAATACCATTGCTACATAAGAACTGCCATAGTTTTTATTCAATTCATCCTATTTCATTGAGAAAAAAATGCTGATAGCCACTACTAAATTAATTATAAGACTTTTAATGGGTTGTACCACACAGCATGAGAAACTCTAGCTCACAAAACATAAATAAAGGACTTCCCACAGCCTTGTGGTAAGGGGGCCAGATCCCACATGGCTGCCCTGATGGGCATCTCAGTCCTGGCATCTTGAGAACACACCAGGCATGTCCTAAATCCTGACAGGATGGAGAAGGGACTGTGGCATGACCATGCCCTATTGAGGGGTGCTTTTTCCCTCTCTCTGGTGAGCACAAATGCCCTCTGGCAATTATATAGCAATCAATAAAGTAGCTAAAACAATTTTAGACAAGAAGACTAAAGCTGGGAAATGCATTATCTGATTACAAGACTTACTATTATATAGATAATGCAATGAAGACATCAGCAGTGTTCGGCCAAGTGTGTAAGGAACGAGATCTCACATGGCCTGAGTGGCTTGAAAAACACACAGGGTGTGTGCTCCAAATCCTAACAGGCTGGAAAAATAGAGGAGAAGGGATGGTGGCATGACCACGCCCCACGTGAGGATGCTTACTCCATCCCTATCTGTCTGTGTCTCTCAGATGAACACACACACTTCTGGCTAAATAAATAAATAAATAAATAAACAAGCAAGCCTACATATATGCTATATTCTGACACTACTCCAAAAAAGGCAATGCTGCATGTTAATAAATCAATCTCAGCAACAGCCCTGAATTGTCTTGATCAATAGCCTTACATAATTTTTTAAAACAATAAATATATATATTTTGGGGGCCAGCAGGTGGCATGGTGGTTGAGTGTGCTAGACTCCCACATGGCTGACTATAGCTCTAGTTCGGACCTGGAGGCTTGCTTTCTCACTCTCTCTGGTCAAATTAAAAAATAACAATAACAAATAAAAATAAATAAATAAATAATTCTTTTTCAAAATACTTAGTTTTTGTTTTGTGTTCTTCTTTTTCAGGCCCTAGGTCTTGAAGGCAAAGTGATCATATGTATAAATTTTATTCAGGGAAAAGGTAACATTTTTACTACTCAAGTGACTGCTTTCATTTATCTTGCTTTAAGGATGAGATAAAGGATACATTAGAATATTGAGGTATAACTATTTCTATGTAATTTAAAAACTGTACAGTGTTTTGCAATCATTTTCCCATTGAGTCATTGCAATCTACGATTACTTTAAATAATCCTTAAAGTGCTCCTGTAAGAACAGTAAGGGACACCTCCTGGCCATCTCTAAACCCTGAAAGAGATGCAATGATTCTATCTTTATAGCCTCCACTATTTTCCAAGGTGCTTAATTAATTTTCACATATTTTAAGATCAACATCTGTGTGCTGTGGTATAAAGACTAGGAGTTGGGCTGGGAGTTAGAAAATCTCACAGAAGACAACGTGTTTACCCCAGACTCAGTATTCTCATCTGTAAACAAGGAGATAGGATTGGGTAATCTCTAAGGCTCTGTCCATCTCTAACTCTTACCTAAGGGACCCTCTGAATATAAAATTTTACTGCCTATAGTGCTTATTATATGAACCCTTCAATGTCTCTTTTTCTTTTTAAATGCAACTCACTAATAATACATTCTATATTCAGCAAGCAGTACATCAGTACTCCAAAATGTAAGATAATAAATTGACAACCTATTATTGTCTTGGAGTAACATCTCTGTGCCCCTGGTACATAATTAACTTTAATCTATGTTAATTGCCTGCTGTTAATAAGATTGACTATGTCTACTGAATTCTCTTTTTGGAGTCCACAGCCTATAATTATACCGAATATGCAAGAAATGATACCTAGTTGTGAGCTGTGAACCAGTAGGTGTTCGTAATTATTCACTGCCTAAGAGATCATAGGACTACCATATATCTTCCATTAATTTTCTCTGTGACCCTGGTCAAATCATTTAACCTTTTTGAATCTTACTTTCCTCTTCTACAAAATGAGTAAGTTCAGGGGAAGCAGTGGTTTCCAAATTGTTCAAACAAACTTGACTAAGAATCTTTGAGGTTTCATCCCCCCATCTCTAAAATTTTCTGATTTTATAAGCCAACAAAACTTTAAAAAGGAAATTATGAGGCCAGCCCCATGGCCTAATGATTAAGAGAGCAGGATCCCACATGGCCAACCATATGGTTCAAATCCCTGCCTCAGCAGCTTGAAAAATATGTCAGGTACATGTATGTGCATTCTCTAAATCCCAACTGAATAGAGAAATGGAGGAGATGGGATCGTAGCATGATCACATCTCACTGGGCAAGGCCTTCTCGCTCTTCCTCTCTCTGTCACTCTGTCTCTGGTGAGTTCACATGCACTCTGGCAATACAAAGTAAATTAATTTTTTTTAGTGGTTTTTGCTATAGGGCATGTGCACTTGCCAGAAAGAGAGAGAGAGACAGAGAGACAGCAAGCAAGAAACCATCCCCCAGGGGGGATGGCCACACCGCAATCCCTTCTCCTCTATTTTCCTCTCAGGATCTTGGGCACACACGCACACGCACCTGGCGTGAGTTTTAAGCCACCGGGTCTGGGACTCAAAATGCAGTCAAATACGTGGGAGTCCAGTGGCATAGCCATTATGCTAACTGCTGGTCCCAAAGTAAATTAATTTTTGAAAAGAAAATTATGGGGCCAGCCAGTGGCATGGTAGTTAAGGCAGCTGGATTCCATGTGGCCAACTATGTGGTTCTTGTCCCAGACCCTGTGGCTTAAAAAACATGCCAGACACCATGTGTATGTGCCCAAACCCCCCAAAGGAGAAATTGAGGAGAACAGATTGCTGTGTTATTATTATTCACCCATGGAGGGGGTGCTTTCTCACTTTCTCTCTCTCTTTTTTCTCACTTTCTCTCTTTAGCAAATGCACCTTCTAGCAATTTTTTAAAGAAAATTATTAAATAATTCTTTATGTACATAAAACAGTAATGTGTAGTGATGTAAAATCTTAATAGAACCAGAGATAAAAAGTAAATTTCATTATCTTGCAAACACTACTTAAAAATTATCAGATATTAAGCCCACAACCTTGCTGGAAGCAAGAAACTTCATAAACTATCCACTGATCATGATAAAACTATTTCAATATGAGATCCGTAATATTGCTAATGATGTATCTAATAAAGTACATAGGTCTTTTTTAAAGTTAACTATTATTAATAACGTGTAATGAAGTCCAGAGACAAAGAATTCATATCATTACCACACAAACAAATCGAGACCTCACAGGCCATGGCCTAGCTATGCTGCCATCTCCGCTCCATCCACTGTTTTACTTGAGGATGAGCGAAATGACTCCACCATTCTGATTTCAGCTGCCAAGTATGTAAATATCTAGGTTTGCAGGGTCATATACAAAGGATGATAATGTTAAAGGCCTATATTCAATTTTCCCATAGAATGACTATGATTCATTTGTATTCATGTTGTGATTAGTTAAGAAGAAACAAATAAATAACATTTTTCTCTTACCCGGCAGTGCTTTTGACAGCTTGGGGGCTTACATTAATAAGTTTATCAAGACCTTGTTCTCTGCTAAAACAAAATAAAACAAAAGGTCAAATTCAATGGGAGTTCAGCACACTTCATGACTGGCCTGTTTTGTTTTGTTTTGTGGTTTTTGTTGTTGTTGTTTTGGACAGCTGAAAACCATTCAATGGGATCTTAGTTTAAAAAAGTAACAAGTTTATTGAGTTTCCGCTACTATATATATATGTTACCATCTTTTAACCCTGAAAGCAACTTGAACAGGTAGATATTACCAGTATTCCCCTTATAAGTAAACAAACTGAGAGGAATTAAGACACTCCCCAATAGCAGATACCAAAGCAACTGAGGATGAATCAAAATTGAAACCACAGTAAACTGGACCCCAAACTCCACATTCATTCTCCCAACACCTTTCCTTTCACTCATGTTCATAATAAGCCCTGACATCTGCACAGTGATTTTTCACCAGCATGATTGTCATAATAATTCTGTGAGAGGTAGCTTGATATGATTTTAACTTTTGCTCCAGTGTAAAATGGGTCTTAATTTCTCAAGAACAGAAATAAATTCAATAGCATGCAAAATATTATAATCAAGTATAACAATATTATTTGTGCAGTTTTCTCATGAATAACTTAAATATCAATCCTTAAATTGTGAGAGAGTAGAAAGCCAAAATCTTTGGTTTATTTAGTTATAATTTATTAGCTACAAATTTACAGTTGTAACTTAGGTATGTTGTTGATGTGTTCAAAGAAATTGCTCTCATTGTAATCTTATAAAATTACCTTTAATATTGTCATTTTAACAATATTTTAATAAAATAAATGGACAATAATAAAAGAAAAATTTATCTAGCATTATGACAAATTAATTTGCTCTCATTTTAAAAAATGTCTTTTGCAAAGTAATCTTTTTTTATATATATATAAATTGGTAACTTGCTTGAGAGTCTTCAATAATAATAATAAGCTTACCTTTTGTTTGCCGAGGGGGTCACATTGGTTATAGTGTCTGAATGTTGCTTCCTAAAAACATGTTGTAAGTTTCAATAACTGCCAAAGTCAGCTAAATCAATATTTTGTACCTTTGTACATTTTAAAATGATTTACTTTATTTTATTTATTATTACTTTTTAATTTGACCAGAGAGAGAAAGGGAAAGTGAGAAAGTAAGCCACCAGTTCCAGGACTCAAACCACAGTCAGCCATGTGGGAATCCAGTGCCTTAACCACCACACCACCTGCTGTCCCCACTTCGTATATTTTTTAACCTTAATGTTGACTTAAATGATTATTGCCAATTTATAACTTCATTACTTGAATTTTTTTCAAAGTCCTATGCAAAAGCAGGTGACTACTATCAATTCATTTTTCACACACTTTTGTATATATAAGAATCTAATTTAGTTTTAGTCTTGTGTCTTTCAAGTCAATCTCAAAGTAGGATTTATTCGTAAACTGTTTTTTTTCTATATTTGTTTAGTAGAATTACAGTAGCATGTGGAATGTTTTTTGATATTATAATCAGCAAGATAAAAATATAAAATCATTCATTATTTCCCTGTTTTTCTTGGTTTCCCCTTTCAAAACAAAAGAACAGAAATAAAAAGGCACTTATTTTATGAAGTTATTTTCTAGGTTATGCAGGTAATATAAATAAGAATACATAACATTGATGTACTTCAAGATAGTAATTACATCACTCCAGAATCACAGTTCATGCAAAGCTAAATCATAACAAGCAAGACTTTAGATTATACAGTTTATGACTTAATTCTAAACACTTAAATAGGTGTTCATAGCTCTAAAGACATACTGCTACTGAGATCTCATACTAACTCCAACACCCAAACACCATGACAATAAGCCTAATCTGACATAATCTATTACTGGACAAATCATTATATATCCTGGAGAGAGAGAAAAAAAAGCATTTGTCATTTAATTAATCATTGGGACTGATAAACTCATTACATCATGCACATAATCCTCCCTTCACGACTGTACATGCCTGTTAATGTAACAGGATGTGCCTTAGATAAAACGCTCATTCTATAAAAGACAAATGTCATCCTTTGCATTCTTTATTATTTATAAAAACTAGATGCAACTTTTAAAACTCCCAATTTGGGGAATAGTTTGATGGATAAACAATAAAAGAGAATGAATAAATGATGAAAGAAGAGAAAAGGAGAACTTGTCATCACATGAAGACCTTCAGGCTGATGAGCTCTAGGAAATTGTTTTGGGGTGTTATTTTACCCCACGAGGAATTCCAATTTCTTTGAAGGAAATGTCAAGCATGGAACACAAACCATAGCCCAGGAGGGATCATCCTATATTCTGAGTAGTTCTCTCTCCCCCAAAACCCACAGTGATAGAGCCCTGACGGACAGCTTGTCAACTAGGTTTCTGATACAGAAACGGTTATCTTGGGGTCTCTATGGTAGGGAAATGCTTTTATCATATTTTTAAAGGGTGAATAAAAAGAAAAAGGAGAGATAGAAAGTTCCATAAGCCTTACCCTTGGTTGGTTCTGGTTTCAGGAGTCACTCTGATGAGGCTATCAAGACTTTGACCACTTCAAAAACATAGACGAAATAACAAGGTCAGTGGAAGATTTATAATAAAGTTGTCAGCATTTGTTGAAACTGAGAAATAATTTTCCTTGTAAAAATATTGATTCAAACATCATTTGAGTGGGTTGGGGCTTTTCAGTGCTATGAATATATAACTTAAACTATAATGGTATAGAAATAATGAATCCTACCTAATGTTTTAGAACATTTTTGATGCACTAGGCACTATTCTAAGTGGTTTACATGATTTACCTAAGTAAATCCTCACACCAATTCTCTTTTTTTTGGGGGGGGGCAAGGGGAAAGGTTTTCACTATAGAGCATGTGTACTCGCCAGAAAGACAGAGAAAGAGAGACAGAAAGCAAGAAATCACCCTCCAGGGAGGATGGCCATGTTACAATCTCTTCTCTATTCTCCTCTCGGGATCTTGGGCACGCACGCACGTACACCCAGCATGAGTTTAAGCCACCAGGTCTGGGACTCAAACCGTGGTCGACTACATGGGAGTCCAGTGACATAGCCATTATGCCAACTGTTGGTCCTGATCCTCACACCAATTTTATGACATAGGAAATATTATCCCAGTTTCACAGTGGGCAAAATTGAGAAACAGAAATACTAAGTAATTGCTCCACAAAACTTTAAATTCTGTAGGGCTAGAATTTAAAGCCAAGTCATCTAGCTCCAGAATAATTACATATCACCAATCAACTTATTGGAACTTACTGAGTTAGTGTTGAAAGTGTCTAGGAGTACCCGGTCCACTCACTTTGAGGCTGAGAAAACTGAAACCCAAACAAAAGTGACTAGTCTGAGATCACCCAGGCAAGAGGCGGAGAGCCACGCCAAATGCATTCACTACTTGTACACTGCATTCTAATTCTCTTTCCCATCTACTGTACCATACCTTCTGCTTAAGAAAAAATAAATCTGGTGACCAGCAGATGGCATGATGGTTACATTGCTAGACTCCCACGTAGTTGACCACAGTTCGAGTCCTGGACCCAGAAGCTTAAAACTCAGGCTGAGTGAGTGTGTGTGCATGCCCAAGATCCCAAGAGGAGAATGGGGAAGTGATTGCAGCATGGCCATAGTATAGTCCCTGGGGGGTGATTTCTTACTTTCTGTCTCTCTAACTCTCCAGCAAGTGCACACAGCCCATAGCAAAAAGATAAATAAATAAATAAAAAGAAAGAAACAGAAAAAGAAAAAAGAAAGAAAAGAGAAAGAAAAAGATAAAAGGAAGAAAGAAAAAGAAATCTGTTGGGTAAATTCTTTCTATAAGCTAACTGGTGTATAGCGATTGAGTGTATAATAAATAAATAAATAATGTTTTAAAAAGAAAAATAAATCAATGGATAAATATGTCCTCTCCATTCCAAGAAAAAGCTATGGACCCAATTCATCAACAGTTACCTTCATTCTATCAGAAATTAATTGACCAGCATCTTCAACATTTCAGATATGAAATAGTCAGGGTTACATGACTTTTTTTGAATGACCATTGGGTTCAGCACCAATCAGCTGAGCTGCTGATGTCATCATACTTTCAAGCATTTGTTAACATGAAACGAAAAAAGGAGCTTCTTCGACCTTACCCTTCCACAATTTTTCCTGTTCTTAGATTCACTTTGATGAGGTTATTAAGGTCTTTAGAACTTTAAGAAAGAAACAAACAAAAAACATGATAAATAAAAATGAAATTAAATCAATAAAGGGAATTTGTGCACAAGAGGAATTGTACTACTGTTGTAAGAAAAACTAATATAGTACTAGTCTACATACTTAATTTAGAAGAGTAAAAATACTGGCCTTCATACAAATCATTATATGAAGGCTTAGTTTCCCATTTCCCCTCAAAACCATAAAATTGAGTTTTGTTATTGTTTTTGTTTTTTAAAATGCTTATTTTAAAAAGCAAAAAGTACAGAACTTTTTAAAAATAGATTTAGAAACAATGTAAAGATTTTACAAAAACTCACTCCTGGCCTCCCTAATCACACTTTCTAATGATATAGCTGTAAATTATGTTTCCTTAATAATCTCCATTTCCATTTTTTTATTTTGTTTTAAACTATTTTATATTCATTATTTCACTTTATCCTTACAATTATCAAGTGACAAAGATGGGACAAACACGATCACATTCTATAACTAGAGAAGCTGCAGCTCATTGTTTAAGGTGTTTGCTCAAAGACATCCAGGTAAGTAATGAGATTCAGACTTTCTGATTCCAATCTAAAGTATTTTTCACTCATCTGAGTGTCACAAATTGATGGTAAGGGGTAAAAAAGAGAGATAAGACAAAATCCTCACCCTTGGTTATTCTTGTTTACTTCAGGGGTCACTTGGGTCAGATTGTCAAGGCTCTGGCCTCTTTAAAGCATTGAAAAAATAGTGGGGTTAATAGTAGGTTCACAGCAAGTGGGTTCAACTATTCATTGAAACTTAGGAACACTATAAACACTCATTGATATCAGATGAAAGAGTTGAATATTGTAAAGGTGACTGCAGAAGTATCAGAAATTTATAGAAGGGGCTTCAAAAGTGTGTGGAAAAAATGTAATTAAAGTATGAGCTTATTGGGGCCAGCATGTAGCATAGTAGTTAAGGTGCTAGACTTCCACATAGCTAACCATGGTTTGAGTCCCGGACATGGATGCTTGAGAATCACGTTGGGCACCTGTAAGTGAGTGCCCAATGTCCCAAGAAGAGAATGGAGCAGAGGAAATTATTGTGTGGTCACCCCCTCAGGGGAGTGATTTCTCACTTTTCCTCTCTGTCTCTTTGTCGTGAGTGCATGCACCCTATGGCAAAAAAGCCTGTGTATATTTTCTTTTAGTGCAAATTTAAAATCCATGAATAGTATTTTTCATAACATGTATTTTTTTTTGTTTGAACTTTTTGAAGACCCACTCTCTCAGACATCCCTGAAACTCACTGAGACTCAGTGAGGATAATATTTTAATCTTGGAATCATTTGTTTACTAGCAAATCTTGTACTAGTTTTCTCCCTATTTTTATGCATTTAAGGCTATGCTGTTAGCCTTGCAAGGTACACAAAATACTTTTGTAATAAGCTATATATTTGTCTCACAGAACATTCCAGAAGTCCCAGCCTCTTAATATTGACCTCTTGCATGTTGTAGAGTTTTAAAATCAACTTTGGAGAATCACATTTGGTAAAATTGACATTCATTGACAGATTTTCTATCACAAATCTGTACTGAGATAAATGTAGCAATTTGTTAATATCTATGCTATATAACCTGGCATCTGTTTCTGGTACATATGACGGTGTGGCAGAACTACAAATTCTGACTAGTCATATTGGCAATAAAAATACAAAGATCTATAGAGTTCTAAAGTATTCTGAAATGTGATTAATGTAAAACTCCATGCAGTCATTGAAAACACTTGAGTATTTTATTGTTACTCATTGGTATATGTCTGCTTCCGATCTTCATGGAATTTTGCTTTTCTTATTGCCTCTACATGTGTCTTCCACTTATGCAGCTCCAGCAAATGCTCCCTCATCAACAGGGGATGCCACACAGGGGAAGGGACAGCCACAGGAAGGTGCTCGCCCATTATGTTTCTCTATACTCTGTGACTTGACAGATCATGTCCAACGGTCTCTGAGGATTTATCTGTACACCAAGGTACAGATATGAGAAACAGCCAGATACTGACTCAAGTTTTTACTTGTGTCCAAATATCTGTGAATATAATACCCAGACTAAAGGCAGCAATAAAAATCTGGGCTTTCATCATGCAAATCATAAAACAATTTACCCCACTCTACTCTAGACTTCCTTTGTTGACGTTTACCTAAATGAAGCAGGTGAAGTTTGAACGTTAGCTACAAAGCACAAAAATCCCATGATTCTACTTCCAGGTTGGAGTATTCAAAAAAATGACATAATGGTCAGCATTGTAATTCGCCCCTTGGTGTTGGGTGTGGCGTTTCCTTTCACTACTTTCAAGACTTTGATCCCTTTAAACACTAAATAAAGCATGTAACTGTACAAGGTTATTTAAGTTTTATAGTTCATCATATCAATAAAGAAGAGTGGGTTGTTGGAAACGTCATGATGCATTTTTGCATAGAAAAAAATAGAAAAAATACTCCATGACTTTTCTGACAACCCAATAGTAGAGTAACCTACTAATTAATGTAATAATGTAAGATAATATTTGCGTTTAACTATGTGAAACAATGCCTCATGGTGTGTATATCTTCAGCATTTATTTGTTCTTTCCATCCACAATAGATTTTTTTAATAATTATTTTAACTTTTTTTTTTTAATTTGACCAGAGAGGGACAGAGTGAGATAGAGAGAGAGAGAGCCAGAGTGAGAGAGAGAGAGAGAGAGAGAAAGTGAAAAAGAAAGCCGCCAGGTCCAGGACTCAAACTGCGGTCAGCCAAGTGGGTGTCCAGCATCTTTATCCATCACATTACCTGCTGGCCCCAATCCACAATAGTTTTGGAAAACACACTATGGGCCAGACTCTGCTCAAAGTTCCAGAACAGATGAGAGCAACATAGACACAGGGTAGGCCTCATGAGGCTTCCAGTTTAACTTGGGCAGAGTCAGACAGTATTTAAATATAATATTTAAATGTAAAAGTAGATGCCACAATTTTAAACAACAATACATGCTATGAAAAAATCCAAGTGCCTGCTGCCTAGAGGATAAGGGAGGTGACATATCTATAGGCAGTGTCAGAAACAACCTTGAGAAAGCAGCAACACAGGAATAGAGAATCAGGAAGTCGGAGCGGCGTATGTAGAAGCCTGAAGGCAGGAATGAGCTTGAGGTAGAAGAGTTGCATTTGGCTGAATATTATCGCAAAAGTAAAGGGCTATCAGTAGGTGTTAGAATTTTATTCTACCCGAAATGGGAGGATGTTGAAAGTTTTTAATAAGGAAAGGAGTAACATCTGGTTTTATTTTTTAAAAATATTTGTCTCACAGAACATTCCAGAAGTCCCAGCCTCTTAATATTGACCTCTTGCATGTTGTAGAGTTTTAAAATCAACTTTGGAGAATCACATTTGGTAAAATTGACATTCATTGACAGATTTTCTATCACAAATCTGTACTGAGATAAATGTAGCAATTTGTTAATATCTATGCTATATAACCTGGCATCTGTTTCTGGTACATATGACGGTGTGGCAGAACTACAAATTCTGACTAGTCATATTGGCAATAAAAATACAAAGATCTATAGAGTTCTAAAGTATTCTGAAATGTGATTAATGTAAAACTCCATGCAGTCATTGAAAACACTTGAGTATTTTATTGTTACTCATTGGTATATGTCTGCTTCCGATCTTCATGGAATTTTGCTTTTCTTATTGCCTCTACATGTGTCTTCCACTTATGCAGCTCCAGCAAATGCTCCCTCATCAACAGGGGATGCCACACAGGGGAAGGGACAGCCACAGGAAGGTGCTCGCCCATTATGTTTCTCTATACTCTGTGACTTGACAGATCATGTCCAACGGTCTCTGAGGATTTATCTGTACACCAAGGTACAGATATGAGAAACAGCCAGATACTGACTCAAGTTTTTACTTGTGTCCAAATATCTGTGAATATAATACCCAGACTAAAGGCAGCAATAAAAATCTGGGCTTTCATCATGCAAATCATAAAACAATTTACCCCACTCTACTCTAGACTTCCTTTGTTGACGTTTACCTAAATGAAGCAGGTGAAGTTTGAACGTTAGCTACAAAGCACAAAAATCCCATGATTCTACTTCCAGGTTGGAGTATTCAAAAAAATGACATAATGGTCAGCATTGTAATTCGCCCCTTGGTGTTGGGTGTGGCGTTTCCTTTCACTACTTTCAAGACTTTGATCCCTTTAAACACTAAATAAAGCATGTAACTGTACAAGGTTATTTAAGTTTTATAGTTCATCATATCAATAAAGAAGAGTGGGTTGTTGGAAACGTCATGATGCATTTTTGCATAGAAAAAAATAGAAAAAATACTCCATGACTTTTCTGACAACCCAATAGTAGAGTAACCTACTAATTAATGTAATAATGTAAGATAATATTTGCGTTTAACTATGTGAAACAATGCCTCATGGTGTGTATATCTTCAGCATTTATTTGTTCTTTCCATCCACAATAGATTTTTTTAATAATTATTTTAACTTTTTTTTTTTAATTTGACCAGAGAGGGACAGAGTGAGATAGAGAGAGAGAGAGCCAGAGTGAGAGAGAGAGAGAGAGAGAGAAAGTGAGAAAGAAAGCCGCCAGGTCCAGGACTCAAACTGCGGTCAGCCAAGTGGGTGTCCAGCATCTTTATCCATCACATTACCTGCTGGCCCCAATCCACAATAGTTTTGGAAAACACACTATGGGCCAGACTCTGCTCAAAGTTCCAGAACAGATGAGAGCAACATAGACACAGGGTAGGCCTCATGAGGCTTCCAGTTTAACTTGGGCAGAGTCAGACAGTATTTAAATATAATATTTAAATGTAAAAGTAGATGCCACAATTTTAAACAACAATACATGCTATGAAAAAATCCAAGTGCCTGCTGCCTAGAGGATAAGGGAGGTGACATATCTATAGGCAGTGTCAGAAACAACCTTGAGAAAGCAGCAACACAGGAATAGAGAATCAGGAAGTCGGAGCGGCGTATGTAGAAGCCTGAAGGCAGGAATGAGCTTGAGGTAGAAGAGTTGCATTTGGCTGAATATTATCGCAAAAGTAAAGGGCTATCAGTAGGTGTTAGAATTTTATTCTACCCGAAATGGGAGGATGTTGAAAGTTTTTAATAAGGAAAGGAGTAACATCTGGTTTTATTTTTTAAAAGATCTACAGAACTTCATTGTGTGTAGAAAAAGGAAAATGACAACTACTGTCTTTAAAAGTTCCTAGAAAGCACACACTTATTAACATACACACTCTGCACATACTCTCACATACATACAGATACACATGTACATCCATGTAGTTACATGCTCATACACAAGAAAGCACACAGGTATACTTGCACGTATACTTATGAACACACAGACATCATGCACTTGTATGCAATCACACATATGTACAGCATATACACATGCACACACTCATATACACTTAAATATACATACCCTCATGAACACACAAGCAGACATACAAATGAATGCACACAAACATTTGTATGACTGCATACACATATGTGCTAACATAGGCATGCACACAATAACATTTGAAGAATAATAGAAATGCTTTCTTTAATAAAAATTAGACAGGAAGGGCCAGCTTCATGGGTTGGTGGTTGAGGCAGCAGATCTTCCATAGCTAACTGTGTGGTTCAAGTACTGGACCCAGTAACTAGAGAAACATACCAAGTAGCATATACTCAAAATCCTGAAATGAAGGTAAGATGGAAAAATAGGGATTGCAGCATGATTATTCCCCATGGAGGGTGCTTTCTCTTCTCCCTCTCTCTCTGTCTCTCTGTCTCTCACTGGCAAGCACACATGTTCTTCAATAAAAAAAAAATTAGAAAGGAAAACATGGATTTTTTTGTGTGGAAAGTTTAAGTAAGCTAAGTATTTGAATATTATCTAAATCATTAAGAAAGCATAGTTTACATGAATGTCTATTTTTATAATTACTTGTATCTCCTATGTGCCAGGTAGGAGACTATTGTGACCTTTCATTAAGATGAGTAAGTTGAGGCCTAGGGACACAGCAAGTGACAAAGCCAAATATTGAACCTAGGTCTTTCCAATGCCAGGCTCACTTTTATCACCTCAGGGGACTGTCCTGAACCATTCAGGATACCAAAAAAGTCAATAAATTCTTTCCGATATGTTGTACAAGCCTCTAGTTCACTGGGTCACTGTGTTCTCAACCATGCCACAACTCCAAGATTGGGACAGTTTTGTCAAGCTGTCAGTGTTGTCAAGTGCACACTAGTTTTCCAGGGAGCTGAACCCTCACGCTGCCAACCAGGCCTGCAGGTGTTGGTGATGTGATTTATAATCAACGAGCAATATTATATGGGCCAGGATGGTGGTGCAGCTATCGTGCAGTCTCCACGATGCTGGACTCACATGGGAAGTGAGTCCTGGGTTTGTGTCTTAAGGCCTCCCTATACACACCAGGTATGTGTGCACACCTAGGATCTAGGCTGGCTGAGGTTGGAGTATGTATTGTAGTGTAAAGGCTCTGTCAGGGATGCCTCTCTCTCTCTCCCCTTCTCTTTCTCTCATGGAAGAATAAATAAACTTAAAAATATTAATAATAATAATAATGTCTACTGAATTAACTGAATGGAAAGAAGCTCAAGAGAAACCACCTGGAATTATTTGGTATACTGTTGTCAGCAACATGCTAATAAGCTTAGTATTAAAAATATTCCTCTGGGGCCAGCAGGTGGCATGGTGGTTAAGGTGTTGGACTCCCAAAAGTCCGACCATGCTTCCAGTTCTAGCCCTGGTGGCTTGCTTTCTCACTTTCCTTGGCTCACTTTCCTTCTCTCTGTGTGTCTCCCTCTGGTCAAAATAAAATAACAACAAAAATAATAAATAAAATTAAATAATTAAAAAATATACATTCCATCTGTTTTTTAAAAAAATAAGAAGAGGACATAAAATGTCCAGAATTACTTGAGAATTCTTTTAACAAAGTATGCTCTGTTAATTTTTTCCTCTTTCTACACACAACACACTACATGTATATATGTATATCACACACAAATACAGTACTAATGTATACAGTTCACATACATACACATTAACATGTACTTCTTATACATCCACATGCATTATATACACACAATACCTATATATATATACATACACTATTTATACACACATACACTTATCTATACACACATTTCTTACATATATATATATATGCATACATATATATACATACTTTCATATACACACACTACAGATACACACATACAATTAAACACATTTACTCATGATATATATATATGTGTGTATATATATACATATATATATACACACATATGCATAACATAAACACACATACATAAAAAGAAATAAATCATTTAGCTCAGTAAATAAGATCAGAATTCCATTTAATTTCTCAAAATAACTTGATAGTAAACTTTGCCCAAGAATAAAATGCAAGAGATGTTTGTTTATTGCTTGTACAGAATTGTGTAATATCCTGTGTTTGGTGGGGGGGGGACTCAGTTTTGGCTTGAATTTCAGTTTGGTCTCCTGAAGACAAGCACTTAGAATTCTAATGTATTTATAAATGCCAGACAAAGGGTGAGGGGGACTTTTAAATGTCTTACCTCTTGATATTTTTATTAGTTTCCTGATTCACTTTAATAAGTCCATGGAGGTCTTGTTTTCTTAGAAGAAGGAAATGAGTTTTACTAAGTGTCATTAAAATAAAATACTATTCAAGTGAATAATGGTTGAGAAAATAAGAAATGATAAACAAATTTTACATATCATAAAAAAATTCTAAAAGCTCTAAATGCAAATATAAATTTTCCTCTTAGATCTTGAACTGAAGACCATTTAAGATTGCTTGTTTGTTAATAAGGAATTTTGTTTTTCTCCCAAAACATATAAGTATATATAAGCCTTGTTATTTAAAAAAAAATAAAATTTGCCCTCACATACATCTTGTTAGAGCATCCCGAAAGAGCAGCATTGACATAATAATGTAAGTTAAATGAAGTTTTGTACTGAATACAGACTGAATATAATTTCTTTGCAACGAATCAGAAATACTTGCCTAATCTGTTTTTAAATAATAAGAATACTATTAAGAATAATAATTTAATAATAATCACTTAACAATATTATAATGGTAAAATGAGAATTTGTGCCTTCATATAAACTCGTGCACCCCTCAGCCCAAGCCTTTTTAAATACCATTTGCCTCAGAGTAGATTGTGGTAAGGAAGAAATAAAGAGCAAGAAAAATTACCTTACACAGTAGGAAAAGTAATGATTCACTTTTAAGGGTGACACATGCCACCCTATTAAAATGCTAAAGGGGGCATTAGCTAAACTCAAAGGGACAGTAGAGACAGCGAAGCATGTGACTGGGTACTGCTACAAGTCAGCCCAGCCTGAGCTGGAGATGCAGTGATTATAAGTCCTTACTCCCTGGGCAAGGCCCTGCCCTGCCCCTGCCCTGGCTACCTTCTGACACCATCATCCTTACAGAAGTTGAGAAGGGATACAGAGGTTGAGCATTGACGGGATGGGGAAGTGTGGTGTTATCTGCTGAAGATATTTTGATCAACGGGTCTGGGGAGAAATGTGCACATATCAAAATGATCTCATTGTAAGCCAAACAATATGATTGAAAGTATATACAAAAAATAAAATAAATTAAAAAAGGAAAAAAAAAAGTTGATTTAAGGGTACTTTAGTCAAGGCTCCCTCTAGGCTGTCTTTCTTAGTTTGGAAATCCACTTTGAAAATGTTGTCAAGACTGCATTCTTCAGATACAATAAATTCAATTCAATAACTCATCTCTAATAGTCAAAGTCCAAAATTGGGGGAAAAAGTTAACTCACTATTGAACATTAAGACAATTCTTCAAACATAAATGGTTTTATTGGTAGAAAGAAGGTGTGGTTATATGGTCCTTCTTCATTGTCCCATTCTGTGCCAAGATACAGTCATGAAACTGAAAGACCATATCTTTTTATTTTCTGGTTGATCAGCAGTTAAAGAAACAAGAATCGGAGACAGTATTAAGTCTTACCCAGTGGTATTTTCATTCCTTTTGAGATTCCCTCTGATAACATTGTCAAAGTCTTGAATGCTTCAGGAAAAAAAAAAAATATTTAGATTAGTTTCAAAATGTTCTCATAGTGGGACCAGCAGTTAGCGTAATGGCTACCTTGCTGGACTCTCACGTAGTCGACAGTGGTTCGAGTCCTGGACCTGGTGGCTTAAACTCATGCTGGGCACGTGTGCGTGCGTACCCAAGTTCCCGAGAGGAGAATGGAGGAGAAGGGATTGCAGTGTGGCCATCCCCTCTAGGGGGGTGATTTCTCGCTTTCTGTCTCTCTGTCTCTCTCTGTCTGCCTGGCGAGTGCACGTGCCCTATAGCCAAAACCTCTCCAAAAAAAGAAAAAAAGAAATGTTCTCATAGTATTAGATACACATATCTTCTATATTCTTGATGATTAGTTCAAGGGAAATTTATATATATATATAAATACATATGTAGGTATGTATGTATTTTTTAAAGAGGTTTTCCCCTTAGGGCATGTGCACCATTTAGTGAGAGAGACAGAGACAAT